TGGCCGCCTATATTTAAGAGAAAAGGATAATTTAACATGACTGCCTAAAGATCAGGAAACAAAATGGCCGCCTTTAGGTAAGAGAAAAGGATAATTTAACATGACTGGCTAAAGATGAGGTAACAAAATGGCCGCCTCCAATTAAGTGAAAAGGATAATTTAACATGACTGCCTAAGGATGAGAAAACAAAATGGCCGCCTATAGTTAAGAGATAAGGGTCATTTCACATGACTGCCTAAAGATTAGGAAGCAAAATGGCCACCTACAGACCAGAGAAAAGGAAAATTTAACATGACTGCCTAAGGATGAGGAAACAAAATGGCCGCCTCTAGTTAAGAGAAAAGGGTAATTTAACATGACTGCCTAAAGATCAGGAAACAAAATGGCCGCCTCTAGTTAAGAGAAAAGGGTAATTTAACATGACTGCCTAAAGATTAGGAAACAAAATGGCCACCTACAGACCAGAGAAAAGGAAAATTTAACATGACTGCCTAAGGATGAGGAAACAAAATGGCCGCCTCTAGTTAAGAGAAAAGGGTAATTTAACATGACTGCCTAAAGATCAGGAAACAAAATGGCCACCTATAGTCAAAAGAAAAGGATAATTTAACTTGACTGCCTAAAGATGAAACAAAATGGCCGCCTATATTTAAGAGAAAAGGATAATTTAACATGACTGCCTAAAGATGAGGAAACAAAATGGCCGCCTTTTTCTAAGAGAAAAGCAGAATTTAACATGACTGCCTAAGGATGTGGAAACAAAATGGCCGCCTATAGTCAAGAGAAAAGGGTCATTTAACATGACTGCCTAAGGATGAGGAAACAAAATGGCCGCCTCTAGTCAAAAGAAAAGGATAATTTAACATGACTGCCTAAGGATGAAACAAAATGGCCGCCTATATTTAAGAGAAAAGGATAATTTAACATGACTGCCTAAAGATCAGGAAACAAAATGGCCGCCTTTTTCTAAGAGAAAAGCAGAATTTAACATGACTGCCTAAGGATGAGGAAACAAAGTGGCCGCCTATAGTTAAGAGAAAAGGATAATTTTACATGACTGCCTAAGGATGAGGAAACAAAATGGCCGCCTATAGTTAAGAGAAAAGGGTCATTTAACATGACTGCCTAAAGATTAGGAAACAAAATGGCCACCTACAGACCAGAGAAAAGGAAAATTTAACATGACTGCCTAAGGATGAGGAAACAAAATGGCCGCCTCTAGTTAAGAGAAAAGGGTAATTTAACATGACTGCCTAAAGATCAGGAAACAAAATGGCCGCCTCTAGTTAAGAGAAAAGGGTAATTTAACATGACTGCCTAAGGATGAGGAAACAAAATGGCCGCCTATAGTTAAGAGAAAAGGATAATTTAACATGACTGCCTAAGGATGAGGAAACAAAATGGCCGCCTCTAGTTAAGAGAAAAGGATAATTTAACATGACTGCCTAAAGATGAGGAAACAAAATGGCCGCCTTTTTCTAAGAGAAAAGCAGAATTTAACATGACTGCCTAAGGATGTGGAAACAAAATGGCCGCCTATAGTCAAGAGAAAAGGATAATTTAACATGACTGCCTAAGGATGAGGAAACAAAATGGCCGCCTATAGTTAAGAGAAAAGCATAATTTCACATGACTGCCTAAAGATGAGGAAACAAAATGGCTGCCTATAGTTAAGAGAAAAGGATAATTTAACATGACTGCCTAAGGATGAGGAAACAAAATGGCCGCCTATAGTTAAGAGAAAAGGATAATTTAACATGACTGCCTAAAGATGAGGAAACAAAATGACCGCCTATAGTTAAGAGAAAAGCATAATTTCACATGACTGCCTAAAGATGAGGAAACAAAATGGCCGCCTTTAGGTAAGAGAAAAGGATAATTTAACATGACTGCCTAAAGATGAGGAAACAAAATGGCCGCCTCCAATTAAGAGAAAAGGATAATTTAACATGACTGCCTAAAGATGAGGAAACAAAATGGCCGCCTCTAGTTAAGAGAAAAGGGTCATTTAACATGACTGCCTAAAGATGAGGAAACAAAATGGCCGCCTTAGTTAAGAGAAAAGGATAATTTAACATGACTGCCTAAGGAAGAGGAAACAAAATGGCCGCCTATAGTTAAGAGAAAAGGATAATTTAACATGACTGCCTAAAGATGAGGAAACAAAATGTCCGCCTATAGTTAAGAGAAAAGCATAATTTCACATGACTGCCTAAAGATGAGGAAACAAAATGGCCACCTCTAGTTAAGAGAAAAGGATAATTTAACATGACTGCCTAAAGATGAGGAAACAAAATGGCTGCCTTTAGCTAAGAGAAAAGCAGAATTTAACATGACTGCCTAAGGATGAGGAAACAAAATGGCCGCCTATACTTAAGAGAAAAGGATAATTTAACATGACTGCCTAAAGATCAGGAAACAAAATGGCCGCCTTTAGGTAAGAGAAAAGGATAATTTAACATGACTGCCTAAAGATGAGGAAACAAAATGGCTGCCTTTAGCTAAGAGAAAAGGATAATTTAACATGACTGCCTAAATATGATGAAACAAAATGGCCGCCTATAGTTAAGAGAAAAGCCTAATTTAACATGACTGCCTAAAAATGAGGAAACAAAATGGCCACCAACAGATAAGTGCAAAGGATAATTTAACATGACCGCCTAAGGATGAAGAAACAAAATGGCTGCCTGCTGATAAGTGCTAAGGAAAATTTAACATGATTGCCCAAGGATGAGGAAACAAAATTTCTGCCTACAGATAAGTGAAAAGGAAAATTTAACATGACAACCTAAGCCTGAGGAAACAAAATGGCCGTCTACGGATAAGTGAAAAGGAAAATTTAACATAACCGCCTAAGGCTGAGGAAAGAAAATGGCCGCCTACGTATAAGTGAAAAGGAAAATTTAACATGACCGCCTAAGGATGAGGAAACAAAATTGGTGCCTACGGATAAGTGCAAAGGATAGTTTAACCTGAGTGCTTAAGGCTGAGGAAACAAAATGGCCGCCTACGGATAAGTGAAAAGGAAAATTTAACATGACCGCCTAAGGCTGAGGAAACAAAATGGCCGCCTACGGATAAGCCCAAACGAAAATTTAACATGACCGCCTAAAGATGAGGAAACAAAATGGTCGCCTACAGATAAGTGAAAAGGAAAATTTAACATGACCGCCTAAGGCTGAGGAAACAAAATGGCCGCCTACAGATAACTCCTCAAGGAGAGGAGTTGAGAAGGTCGGGAGTGTGAGGTTGCGGCGAGCGGATCGTGTCTCGGGAAGCGGAGGACACTCCATACTAACTATCTTCACGTCCATTTTAAATTTTCAAGAAGAAAAGAATAAAAGGAAAGCCATGGCTTAGAAAAGGAGCACGTAAGTTCTCAGAAAAAAGGGGTTATTCTTCCTACCCTATTTACTTTTTCCTCAGATAAAAAGTCCCCCCCCCCCAGCATAGGGAAGGGTGGAATGAGAAGAAAAAGATAAGAAAGGTATAACATAGAAAATAATTAAGTATAACTATAAAAGAATCCATTTTGAAGTCGACGTTCTTGGAAAGGAGAGAAGGTGAGAATGAAGCGAATACATTTGATGGGGAGTGGAAAGATATGTGAATTACTGGAGGAACTGGACTAACTTTGAACTATTACTGATTAAGCAAACAATTCATGAAGAAAGTAGCTGAAAACTATAAATTATAAACTATAAGACCATAAATAGTGAAAAGAAATATTAGAAATAAGAGGCAACAGGAGAGACGCAATAGGAGAAGAGACGGAGATCGGCTGACCTTGAAGATTCATTGTTGTGTCTACGAACTCCTTTCCCCCATAAACAATTGACGCACATGGAGTAGAGACACCGGAAGGAAGTGAAGTGAAACAGACGGAATGAAATAGAGAGACACTCACCTTAGAGAACAAGTAAGAGGCAGAGCAGCCGGAAGGTGGAAAGTGGAAGTGGCAAAGGGGGAACAATTTTAAAAGCGAAGTGAACTGTAACCAACAGAAACATAGAGTAAGAATGAGAAAGAAAGGCCAAAATCTTAATAGTAAATGAAATCTAAAGGAAACCAGACGGGACGACGAGAGGGCATATGATAAAGAGACCGAAGGATAAAGAAACAACTAAGGCAAGGACTAGAAGCAGACGTAACAAGGACGAGAAGCAGACGAGATGAGGAAGAAAAACAGACGAGACTGGTGATAGAGAAGACAGAGAGGAGAAGGAGGGGTGATCTTGACAGGCCAAAGGATAACAAGGATTAAAGGAGGGGTAGATCTAAGGTACTATTAGAGATAATTGGAGGTAACATCGTAATAGAAGAACAAGGGCAAGGAGGAGAAAACTGAGGAAAGAGAAAGATGAGAGGAACAAGTAGGCAATTAATACAAAATCAAACAAAGTCAAGGCATCCAAAAAATTGAGACAAGATCTTGACCTAACTCCAACATTGCTTCGTCTTGCTACAAAATCAGTACTTGACACTTTTATCCTTTTTTCTCTCTTAACTACTTTATATCCCAAGCAGCCAAGAACAGATATCTTCTCAGCCTTGAATCTCCAATCAGTCTCTGCTGCATTTTGGCAGAGCGCCTGAGAGCCTTGTTTTCCTTTGCTCATTAAAAACAATTAATTTCTGTAGCTGGGCAGGCAGCAAGCCTTTCCCAGACTCTTGCAGCAATTCAGACCCTGGGAACAGACCATCATCCCCAGACCCTTCAGAAACATTCCCATCAGAAGAGTCTGAACATGAACCACGTTGTCATTCTCTGCAACTAGAACAACCTCATCATTAGACAGATGAACCTCATCATTAGATACACGAACCTCATTGTCACACCCATCATCCAGAGTACCCTGATCATTAGACACAATCACAGGCTGAACTCCAACAGCAGGGTAGCCTCATCAGGGATGAAAATGGTCAAAAAGCATGTTTTTCCAAACCCTATTAAGAGGACTTCATGGACTTCTCTAACTTCTCAATGGTGCCTTGGCAGGTTTGGAAGCAGAAGTGGCAGAAGAAGGGAGAGCTGTTTGGCGGAGGAGGGGGCAGCCGGGCCATGGGCCGGAGCTCGGACACCTGCTTCAGGTGTGGACAGGTCGGCCACTGGGCCTCGCAGTGCAAGGGGAAAGGTAAGACTGGTCCCTTCTAATTTGGTGTTATCTGGAAACTTTGAGAAGCATGTCCTCTAAACCAGTGTTTCTCAACCCGGGGGTCGGGACCCCTGAGGGGGTCGCGAAGGGGTGTCAGAGGGGTCACCAAAGACAATCAGAAAACACAGTATTTTCTGATGGGCATGTGGATTCCATGTGGGAAGTTTGAGCCAATTCGATCGTTGGTGGAGTTCAGAATGTTCTTTGATTGTAATGAACTATAAATCCCAGAAACTACAACTCCCAAAAGTCAAGGTCTATTTTCCCCAGGTTCCACCAGTGTTCACATTTGCGCATATTGAGTATTTGTGCCAAGTTTGGTCCAGATCCACCATTAGTCCGCAGTTCTCTCTGGATATAGGTGAACTACAACTCCCAAACTCAAGGTCAATACCCACCAAACCCTTCCAGTGTTTTCTGTTGGTCATGGGAGTTCTGTGTGGCAAATTAGGTTCAAATCCATCACTGGTGGAGTTCAGAATGCTCTTTGATTATAGGTGAACTATAAATCCCAGCAACTACAACTCCCAAATTACAAAATCAATCCTCCCCAACCCCACTAGCATTCACATTTGGGTGTATTGGGTATTTGTGCCCAGTTTGGTCCAGTGAATGAAAATACATCTTGCATATCTGATATTTACATTATGATTTATAACAGTAGTAAAATGACTTTTATGAAGTAGCAACAAAAACAATGTTATGGTTGGGGGTCACCACAACATGAGGACCTGTACTAAGGGGTCGCGGCATTAGGAAGGTTGAGAAACACTGCTCTAAACCAAGGGTCCTCAAAGTAAGTACCGGGGGCCGGATATGTCCCTCCAAGGTCATTTACCCGGCCCTCACTCAGGGTCAACCTAAGTCTGAAACAACTTGAAAGCACACAACAACAACAATAATAAGCCTATACTCTTATTAATATTTCAATGGGAAGTAGGCCCACACTTCCCATTGAAATATTAATAAGTTTATATTTGTTAAGATTGTTCTTCATTGTAATTATTGCATTGTTTTTAAGTGTCTTTTGCACTACAAATGAGATATGTGCAGTGTGCATAGGAATTCATTCATTTTTTTTTCTCAAATTATAATCCGGCCATCCAACAGTTTGAGGGACTGTGACCAGTTTGAGGGGCTGTTTAAAAAGTTTGAGGACCCCTGCTCTAAACCTTCATCTAGGTCATTAATATAGATGTTAAATATGCTTGGGTCCAGGACCAAATCCTCTTTATGGCACTCCACTTGTCATTTCTTTCCAGGATGAAGTGGAAACATTGAGGAGAATCACCCTTTGGGCTTGGTCACTTAACCAATTCCAGATCCACCTAATACTAGCAATGTCTTTCATTAGGTGATCCCTCCTAACCTGAGGATGATGGTCCTCCAAGTGGAGTGTCTTGGTGGTGGGCCCATAGATAGCTGTGGAACCAGCTTGATCCACATGTTCTCCCGCAGTGAGGACATCGATTTCTAGGTGGGAGGCGGTCCCAGTCAGGGTTGGCTTGACGCGCCTTCTTCCTCTTTCTCCCTCTTGCCCTCCATTCGTGCCTCTACAAATTTTACAGCACTGCTGGTCACAGCTGACCTCCAGTTAGAGTTCTCAAGGGCCAGGGCTTCCCAGTTCTCGGTGTCTATGCCACAGTTTTTAAAGTTGGCTTTAAGCCCATCTTTAAATCTCTTTTCCTGTCCACCAAAATTACGTTTCTCTTTCTTGAGTTGGGAGTAAAGTAACTGCTTTGGGAGACGGTGATCTTTGGGCATTCGGACAACGTGGCCTTTAGTTCAGCAGAGTTTACTTATTTATTTCGTATCAAAAGCATTGCATAAGTTAGTATAAAACTGATAAAAATAGAAGACGTGCAGGTGGCTAAATATCTTTTGACCAGAAATGGGCAACAGCAGCAGCATTGTCTGTATCTTCCAACAATTCTTCCTCTGTACATGAGGAAGGACATAGTAGACAAGCATACAGATGCAGAGTTGTCTGTTCTGCTCCACAGTCACATAAGGTGTGGGATTATTTTAGGTACTGTCATTTTGCCAGGTTGTCTTTTGATCTGCCCACTCCACTTCTGAGTCTATTCAGGGACTTCCAAGCTGCTCATTCTTGGTTTGCTCCTGGAAGAAGACCCTCCCTCCTGGGGGGCTATCCAGTTGGAGTTTCCTGGTCTAGTGGGATACCCTTGCTGTTGCTGGAGGGGGGGGGGGTGTGCCAAGAGGAGTGGTAGTTCTCATAAAGCTTTCCCTTGATTTGAGTCTACTGGGAGGAAGCTGGTAGCCATGTAGTGGATGGCTTTCACAACGTTCAATCTTATTTCTCTCACATTTAGCAGCAACTTTCTGTCACACATCGGGGGGGGGGGTGCCACCTAGCTTGTAGATTTTATCAACAGGTGTAGGTTTAAGACATCCTGTGATTATTCTGTATGTTTCATTCAATGCTATCTTCACCTGCTTTGCATGGGCAGACCTCTGCCAAACAGGGCAGGCGTACTCGGCAGTTGAGTCAGACGTAAGGCCAGGGCTGATGTTCTTACTAATTTTGAGTCTGCATCCCATGTGCTGCCAGTAAGTTTCCACAGGATGTTATTGCGTGCAGCTACTTTGTGCTTGGTGTTCAAGCAGTGTTTCCTATATGCTAGTGTTCGATCTAACTCTGTTTCAGCAGAGTTGATAGCGTATGAGTATCGCTTCAATGCTGATGGTCTTTGCTTCTTCTTCCAGCATGCTGACATTTGTCTGCCTGTCTTTCCAAGAGATTTGCAGGATTTTTCAGAGGCAACGTTGATGGAATCATTCTAGGAATTGCATGTGACGTCTGTAGACAGTCCACGTTTTACAGGCGTATAGCAGGGTTGAGAGGGCAATAGCTTTGTAAGCAAGCATGTTGGTCTCTCTATGGATGTTGGTGGTCTTTGCTTATTCTCCCAGCACACTGACATTTGTCTGTCTGTCTTTCCAAGAGATTTGCAGGATTTTTCAGAGGCAACGTTGATGGAATCATTCTAGGAATTGCATGTGACGTCTGTAGACAGTCCACGTTTTACAGGCGTATAGCAGGGTTGGGAGGACAACAGCTTTATAAACAAGCACCTTGGTCTCTCTATGGATGTCCCGGTTCTCTCTGCTTCATTCGGAAAAATGCTGCGCTTGCAGAGCTCAGGCGGTGTTGTATTTCAGTGTCAATGTTGACTTTGGTGGAGAGGTGGCTGCCCAGAGAGTGGAAATGGTCAACATTTTCTAATGTTACACCATTGAGCTGTTTTTCTGGCATTGGAGAGGGTTTGCTGGTGACTTCTGGAAGAGGCCAAGCTTCTCGTATGCTTCCGCAAAGGTGTTTAGAGTGGCTTCTAGGTCTTCTGAATGTGCACAGACTACGTTATCATTAGTTGTATGCTTACCCCACATTGGACTAGTTTGCTTGCTAGGAGGTCATGGGGGACCTTGAAAGGCCTTACGGAAATCAAGATACGCTACATCCACAGCATTCCCTGCATCTACCATGCCTGTAACTCTATCAAAACTCTATTTTATCCCTTCTTGCTCCCTCCAAAACAGAGGGAGAGAGGAGGAGATAAAGAAAGAAAAAGGAAGAAAAGGAGGTAGAAAAAAAGAGAAGGAGGAGAAACGGAAGTAAGGAAACAGAGGGAAGGAGGAGAAGAAAGGGAGGAAGAAAGGTACGTAGAGAAAAGAGAAGGAAAGTACGGTATCCATATAACTTGGTTCTGTGGTTTGAACTCTGTGGTTTCTTCAACCTGCAGCAGAGTTTCTCAGTTCAAACCTCCAAGTAGTATTAAGGTGTTGTTGTTCATTTGTTCAGTCGTGTCTGACTCTTCCCGACCTCATGGACCAGCCCACGCCAGAGCTCCCTGTCGGCCGTCACCACCCCCAGCTCCTTCAAGGTCAATCCAGTTACTTCAAGGATGCCATCCATCCATCTTGCCCTTGGTCAGCCTCTCTTCCTTTTTCCTTCCATTTTCCCCAGCATAATTGTCTTCTCTGAGCTTTCCTTTCTTCTCATGATGTGGCCAAAGGACTCATCTTGACCTCTAGTCTCCTTCCCTTCAGTGAGCAGTCGGGCTTTATTTGCTGAAGTATGGACTGGTTGGATCTTCTGGCGGTCCAAGGCACTCTCAGAATTTTCCTCCAACACGACAGTTCAAAAGCATCTCTCTTCCTTCGCTCAGCCTTCCCGATAGTCCAGCTCTCACATCCGTAGGTTACTACAGGGAATACCATTGCTTTAACTATGCGGATCTTTGTTGCCAGTGTGATGTCTCTGCTCTTCACTATATTAGCGAGACTGGACATTGCTCTTCTCCCAAGAAGTAAACATCTTCTGATTTCCTGGCTGCACTCTGTGTCTGCAGTCATCTTTGCGCCTAGAAATACAAAATCTGTCACGGCCTCCACGTTTTCTCCCTCTATTTTCCAGTTGTCAATCATTCTTGTTTTTTTGGGGTTTTTTGATGTTTAGCTGCAACCCAGCTTTTGCGCTTTCTTCTTTCACCTTGATTAGAAGGCTCCTCAGCTCCTCCTCACTTTTGGCCATCAAAGTGGTATCATCTGCATATCTAAGGTTGTTCATGTTTCTTTCAGCAATTTTCACCCCAGCCTTGCATTCATCCAGCCCCGCACATCCTCGCATGATGTGTTCTGCATACAAGTTGAATAGGTTGAGGGAGAGGATACGACCCTGCCGGACGCCTTTCCCAATCTTGAACCAGTCTGTTGTTCCGTGGTCAGTTCTAACTGTTGCTCCTTGGTCCTTGTACAGATTTCTCAGGAGAGAGACAAGGTGGCTTGGTATGCCCATACCACCAAGAACTTTACTGCACCATAGTTAGAAGTAAACAGTTGAATGAGGATTGAATGTTCACCTTCTGGTCACCTTCCAGCTTGCCCATCCCACCAAGAACTTGCCACAATTTATTATGATAAATAAATTGTGATAATATACAGGATAAAATAAAAATGAAATAAAATAAATTGTGGCAAATATTAAGTTACTATCTATAGTATGAGCAATACTTGCAATAAACAGACACAGGGACTTCTTTCAACAGGAATGGGAAATACGATAGCCTGGATCATCCTGACTTCAGTATTCAGTGATATGTCTTTACACCATAGAAGCCTGAATTTAATTATTATGATTTTCCTTAACTTATTTTATTTATTTGTCGTGTCAGGGCAACCAGTCAATTGTATTACATTTCTAACAGAACAAAACAAACAAACAGACAAAATACAAAATTTGCAAGTTTGGTAGTTGATTAAATGTCCTTTGACCAGTATCTGGCCACTTGGAGTGCCTCTGGTGTTGCCTGCAAGAAGGTCCTCCATTGTGCATGTGGCAGGGCTCAGGTTGCATTGCAGCAGGTGGTCAGTGGTTTGCTCTTCTCCACACTCGCATGTCAAGGATTCCACTTTGTAGCCCCATTTCTTGAGGTTGGCTCTGCATCTCGTGGTGCCAGAGCGCAGTCTGTTCAGCGCCGTCCAAGTCGCCCAGTCTTCTGTGTGCCCAGGGGGGAGTCTCTCATTTGGTATCAGCCATTGGTTGAGGTTCTGGGTTTGAGCCTGCCACTTTTGGACTCTCGCTTGCTGGGGTGTTCCAGCGAGTGTCTCTGTAGATCTTAGAAAACTATTTCTTGATTTAAGTCGTTGACGTGCTGGCTGATACCCAAACAAGGGATGGGCTGGAGATGTCTCTGCCTTGGTCCTTTCACTATTGCCACTTCCCGCTGGATGTCAGGTGGTGCCATACCGGCTAAACAGTGTAATTTCTCCAGTGGTGTAGGGCGCAGACACCCCGTGAAAGTCCTGAACTGACTTTCCATTTCCTTATTGCAGTGTCTCAGCCTGTCTCTGAAGCTCAACCTCAAGAGAAGGAAAATGGCTGCGATGCAGAGGAAGAGGTGCCCTTGCTCACTTTGGAGGAAGTGGCCCGGATGACTAACACAGCCTACAGCAAGATTTCAGGTGAGAAAGATAGGTTGCATCTACCTAACCAAAGTACCTGTTCCACGTTGCTGCTCTGTTGGTTCAAATGTATTTGAATGTAATTGGCACACAGGACTCCCATGACCAACAGAACACACTGGAAGGGTTTGGTGGGCATTGACCTTGAGTTTGGGAGTTGTAGTTCACCTACACCCACTGTGGATTCAAACAATGTTGGATCTGGACCAAATTTGGCACAAATATTCCGTATGCCCAAATATGAACACAGATGGAGTTTGGGGGGAAATAGACCTTGATATTTGGGAGTTGTAGTTACTGGGATTTATAGTTCACCTATAATCAAAGAGTGTTTTGAACCCTATCAACAACAGAATGACAGAATCGGGGCAAACTTCCCACACAGAACCCCCATGACCATCAGAAAATACTTAAGGCCATCCAATCAAACTCCCTTCACCAGGGCAAGAAAACATAATCAAAGCCCTCCAGGCAAAGAGCCATCCAGCCATAGATATAGATAGATATGATTTTGTCATTTGGGAGTTGTAGTTGCTGGGATTTATAGTTCACCTACAATCAAAGAACATTCTGAACTCCATTAACGATGGAATTGAACCAAACTTGGCACACAGGATTCCCCTGACCAACAGAAAACACTAGAAGGGTTTGGTGGGCATTGACCTTGAGTTTGGGAGTTGTAGTTCACCTACATCCAGAGAGCACTGTGGACTCAAACAATGATGGATCTGGACCAAACTTGGCACAAATATTCCATATGCCCAAATATGAACACAGATGGAGTTTGGGGGAAATAGACCTTGACATTTGGGAGTTGTAGTTACTGGGATTTATAGTTCACCTACAATCAAAGAGCGTTCTGAACCCCACCAACGACAGAATTGGGGCAAACTTCCCACACAGAACCCCCATGACCAACAGAAAATACTTACGGCCATCCAGTCCAACTCCCTTCATCTGGACAAGAAAACGTAATCAAAGCCCTCCTGACAAATAGCCATCCAGCCATAGATATAGACAGATATGATTCACACACAGAGAGATATAGTATCTTAGATTTGAAAGGGACCCCAAAAGAAGGACAATAATATGTTCCATATTCCAGAGTAAGCAAACCAGACAATCTCCACATCAACACTGACAAAGAAACAGCAAGAAATACTGTTTAGCCACAAGCATAAAGAAATTACATAAATTAGAAACCAACACTTTCACATTACTTTATTTTCCAGATCACCAAACTGGGCCACAGCAACGCGTGGCAGGGGACGGCTAGTAAGAATAATAATTACTATTATTATTTTAACCCACTTTTTTTCTCCTGCAGGAGACTCAAAGCAGCTTAATGTTTTTAAAAATCAGCATACAATTTAAAATATACAAATATTAAAACAGCATGAAACATCATTAGTACTAAAAACAATTCAGATTAAATTCAGTACAAAAAAAGCAATTACATAGTACACTATGGTAAAAAAAAACAGATTAAAATATAATAGACGGCTTCCATGAGGCCAAGCCATAATAATAATAATAATAATAATAATAATAATAATAATAATAATACTTTATTTATACTCCGCTACCATCTCCCCAAGGGTCTCGGTGTGGCTTACATGAGGCTGAGCCCAAATACAACAATACAGACAATAAACAACAGTACAAGCAATTAAAAATAAAAACATAGGCAATAAAAATATACAACATTATCAATTAGACAACACACAATTAAAAATAGTGGGAAGGCCAAATGTACAGTTAAAATTGGAAATAATGATGGGACATAGACGAAAAGGAGATAGTGGTGTTTGCGGAAGGGCATACGAGCAGACCTAAAAAATGTAAAGTGCTTTGGAGGACAAAGCACTTTCATTATTCCGGGAAGGCACACTGGAACAACCACGTCTTCAAGCTCCTCCTGAAGACTGCCAAGGTTGGGGCCTGTCTGATGTCTTTAGGGAGTGTGTTCCAGAGTCGAGGGACCACCACCGAAAAGGCCCTCTCTCTCGTCCCCACCAATCGCGCCTGTGATGCTGGTGGGATCGTGAGCAGGGCCTCTCCGGAAGATCGAAGGGATCGTGTGGAGATGCGGTCACGCAGGTTGGCAGGTCCCAAACCGTTCAGGGCTTTGTAGGTAAGAACCTGCACCTTGAATTGGGTCCGGTAAATGAATGGCAGCCAGTGGAGCTCCCTGAACAGGAGGGTTGACCGCTCCCTGTAAGGAGCCCCAGTTAACAACCTGGCTGCCGCCCGTTGGATCATCTGAAATTTCCGGACCGTTTTCAAGGGCAGCCCCACGTAGAGTGCATTGCAGTAATCCAGTCTAGAGGTGACTAAGACATGGACCACTTTGGCCAGATCCGCCTTCACGAGGTACGGTCACAGTTGGCGCACGAGTCTTAATTGTGCAAAGGCCCTCCCAGCCACCACTGACACCTGAGCCTCAAACATAAGTGAAGAATCCAGGAAGATGTCTGAGCCTCAAGCATCAGTGATGAGTCCAGGAGGACACCCAAACTGCGGACCTGTGGCTTCAGGGGGAGTGCAACCCTGTCCAGCACAGATTGTCACCCTATACCAGTCTGGTTTTCGATCGACCAGGAGGACCTCTGTCTTGTCAGGATTGATCTTCAGCTTGTTCATCCTCATCCAGATAGACACAGCGGCCAGGCACTCGTCCAGCACCCGAGAGGCCTCCTTGGAGTTAGGTGGAAAGAGTAGTAGAGTTGTGTGTCATCTGCGTAGAGATGGCACCCAACTCCAAAACTCCGGATGACTTCACCCAGCGGTTTCATGTAGATGTTGGAAAGCATGGGCGACAGAATGGAACCTTGCGGGACCCCCCCCCTAAGGATTTCCCAGCATCTTGATGCTGAGCCCCAGCAAGATGCTCCCCTATGACTTCATCACAAAATCTGTGCTAAGATCATGTGAATCTTAGTTGCCTTGTTGTGAAGTTTGAATTACGTATTCCTCTCCTTTGGTTGTTCATAACACGTCCCACCTTCCTTTCCAGCAAAAAACGAGAGAAGCCAAGGATCTCTGGAGGCTCAGAGTCAAGAGGGAGGGGTCTTCCTGCCAATGCACAGACCCACGTATGAACCGTCCCCTCCACCCGAGCCCATAGAGCCCCTCTACGGACTGGGTCCAGATGGGAAGGTGAAAGGTAAGGTCCAGGGAGAAGTCTTCTGATGGCTGACCACCCTCTGGGCGGAAGGCGAAGCTTTGCTGCAATATGTCATGGACAAATCCTAGAACACATGGTATCTTTCACCACCCAGGCCTTCAGGATTCCTACCCTAATTTGTGGAGTTGCCACTTTGGTGGCGAATGTAAGATAGAATCAAGTGACCAGTGGGGTGCCAAGAAGGGGGGCAGTGGGTCTGTCCTTGGCACAGTGCTGTCCTTGGCACAGTGCAGGTTTTTCGGGCTATTTATGTCTCACAACGTCTGAGGATGCTTGCCATAGATGCAGGCGAAATGTCAGGAGAGAATGCTTCTAGAACATGGCCATATAGCCCAAAAAACCTACAACAACCCAGCATACACTGATTTTGCCATTTTCTACAAGGGTCACCATTTTACTGTGGCATTATTACAAATCTTGAGCATCCATGTACGAGGGTTATGTGGAAAGTAAGGTTACAATTTTTTTAAACAATCCAAAGAATGAATCGATTTTAATCAAACTTACTTACTTACTAACTTAGGCGATCCCTCGTTGTCTGAGTAAGATTGTCCTCCAAGTTTGGTGTCCTTGCGCTGGATCCGTAGGTGGCCGTGGACCATATTCTTGACCCACATGTTCTCCTGCAGTTAGGACCTTAGTTTCTAGATGGAAGGCGGTTCTGGTCGGGGTTGGCTTGACGCGCCTTCCTCTTCGCACGTTTCTCTCTTTCGCCCTCCATCCATGCCTCTTCAAATTCTACAGCACTGCTGGTCACAGCTGACCTCCAGCTGGAGTTCTCAAGGGCCAGGGCTTCCCAATTCTCGGTGTCTATACCAGAGTTTTTAAGGTTGGCTTTGAGCCCATCTTTCAATCTCTTTTCCTGTCCACCAACATTCCGTTTTCCGTTCTTGAGTTCGGAGTAGAGCAACTGCTTTGGGAGACGGTGGTTGGGCATCCAGACAACGTGGCCGGTCCAGCGGAGTTGATGGCGGAGGACCATCACTTCAATGCTGGTGGTCTTTGCTTCTTCCAGCATGCCGACATTTGTCCTCCTGTCTTCCCATGAGATTTGCAGGATTTTTCGGAGGCAACGCTGATGGAATCATTCCAGGACTTGCATATGATGTCTGTAGACAGTCCACGTCTCGCAGGTGTAAAGCAGGGTTGGGAGGACAACGGCTTTGTAAACAAGCCCCTTGGTCTCCCTACGGATGTCCCGGTCCTCAAACACTCTCTGCTTCATTCAGAAAAAGGCTGTACTCGCAGAGCTCAGGCGGTGTTGTATTTTGGTGTCAATGTTGACTTTTGTCGAGAGGTGGCTGCCCAGGTAGTGGAAATAGTCAACATTTTCTAATGTTTATTTATTTGCTTTATTTCTATACCACATTTTTCAGCCTGTTACACCATTAAGCTGTATTTCTGGCTTTGCAGATGGGTAGCATAATTATTACAATATTTTTCCACATAATCACCATTCACTTCAATACATTTCATCATCCGTTGGACAGGTTTTTGATGCCTGCATCATAGAAGTTTCCCTCCACCTTTTCCAGACAGTTCGTTAGTTCAATTTTCACCCGTTCCTCGTTGGAAAAGTGTTTTCCACCCAGGTGTTCCTTCAATTGTGTGAACAGATAGATGATAGTCACTGGGTGCGAGATGGGGGCTGTGAGATGGGTGGCTTCAAACATCCCAACCCAATGAAGTCAACAACTCTTGTGTTGCATGAGCGGTGTGCGGTCAGATACGCATTGTCATGAAGGAGACAGACTTGCGCCGTCAGCATCCCACCACATTAGATTTGGATGGCTCTGCGAAGTTTCTTCATGGTCTCCCAATATATTCTGTACCCATTTTGTCACATGGTGTCTTGACATGACGCCTTCTCCATAAACTGAAACTATTTTGCGATATTTATTTATTTATTTATCGTGTCAGGAGCAAACCAAACAGTTGTATTGCATTTTTAACAAACAAACAAACAAAACACAAAGTTTGCAAGTTTGTAGCAGAAATCCTATGTAAAATCATACTACGTATTTTCGACATTAATATTTATTTATTTATTTTTATTTATTTATCGTGTCATCAGCAACCATACCATTGTATTACAGTTCTAGCAGAGCAAAGCAAACACACAGATTAAAAAAAAAAAAACACAGATTTTGCAAGCTTGGTAGTTGGTTAAATGTCCTTTGACCAGTCTCTGGCTACTTGGAGTGCCTCTGGTGTTGCTGCAAGAAGGTCCTTCATTGTGCATGTGGCAGGGCTCAGGTTGCATTGCAGCAGGTGGTCTGTAGTTTGCTCTTCTCCACACTCGCATGTCGTGGATTCCACTTTGTGGCCCCATTTCTTAAGATTGGCTCTGCATCTCGTGGTGCCAGAGCGCAGTCTGTTCAGCGCCTTCCAAGTTGCCCAGTCTTCTGTGTGCCCAGGAGGGAGTCTCTCATCTGGTATTACCCATGGATTGAGGTGCTGGGTTTGAGCCTGCCACTTTTGGACTCTCGCTTGCTGGGGTGTTCCAGCGAGTGTCTCTGTAGATCTAAGAAAACTATTTCTTGATTTAAGTCGTTGACGTGCTGGCTGATACCCAAAGGGATGAGCTGGAGATGTCTCTGCCTTGGTCCTTTCACTATTGGCTGCTACTTCCCGGCAGATGTCAGGTGGTGCAATACCGGCTAAGCAGTGTAATTTCTCCAGTGGTGTGGGTCGCAGACACCCTGTGATAATGCGGCATGTCTCATTAAGAGCCACATCTACTGTTTTAGTGTGGTGAGATGTGTTCCACACTGGGCATGCATACTCAGCAGCAGAGTAGCATAGCGCAAGGGCAGATGTCTTCACTGTGTCTGGTTGTGATCCCCAGGTTGTGCCAGTCAGCTTTCGTATTAATTTGTATTAATATTAATTCGTATTAATATTAATTCGTATTAATATAACATTAATTCATATTAATATTAATATAAATTAATATTGAAATCTGAAATATATACAGAAAGTCTTTACTTTGCTATGCATTTTTGACATTAATATTGAAATCTGAAATATAGACTTGGTCTTGTTCCGTGACCAAGTTCTTCATTCAAAACTCTCTTAAGTTGGGATGCTCTTAAATCGAGGTCCCACTGTACTTAGCTTCCCAGCATAAGCCTGAACGGGATGAAGCCAATCTGCCTTTCCAGGGTCAAGAGTAGCCCATCTCTGACTTGCTGTATCTTCTGCAGAGACCCCTCCCGAGGTTTTCCAAGCGCTGGCTGAGCTGGGCTTCACCTCCTTCCGCGCAGGACAGGAAACAGCTGTGATGAGGATTCTTTCAGGTAAGGCAGTGTGCTTGACTCAAGCCAGAGTGGATTACAGACTGGGATCCTCTTCCATATTGCTGTATCAGAAGGTTTAACAAGGCCTTCCTGCAACTGTCTTTCGGGCTGCAAAGGTTGACAACAAGCTACACAATTTTGGTCGGGAGCTCACTCCAACCCGGGTTGGCTTTGAACTCATGACTTTTTGGTCAGTAGTGATCTTAATGCAGCTGACTCCCAGTCAGCTGCGCCACAGTCCATCACAAAATTGGGTGGACAAACCAGGAGGGCATCCACACTATAGAACAGGCATGGTCTAACTTGGGCCCTCTGGGTGTTTTGGTCTCCAACTCTCACAGTTCCTAACAGCCGGTAGGAGTTGAAGTTCAAAAGACCTGGAGGGCCAAAGTTGGATCATGCCTACTATAGAACTGCACCACAGTTCAGGCGTCGGCGGTGGCCAGGAGGGCCTTTGCACAATTAAGACTCGTGCACCAACTGCGACAGTACCTCGTGAAGGCGGATCTGGCCAGGGTGGTCCATGCCTTAGTCACCTCTAGACTGGATTACTGTAATGCACTCTACGTGGGGCTGCCCTTGAAAACAGCTCAGAAATTTCAGATGAGCTCCACTGGTTGCCATTCATTTTCCGGTCCCAATTCAAGGTGCAGGTTCTTATCTACAAAGCCCTGAATGGTTTGGGACCTGTCTACCTGCGTGACCGCATTTCTGTATACGAACCCACACGATCTCTTCGATCATCAGGAGAGGCCCTGCTCGCGCTCCCACCTCCATCACAAGCATGATTGGTGGGGACAAGAGAGAGGGCCTTTTCGGTGGTGGCCCCTCGATTCTGGAACTCACTTCCTAAGGACATCAGGCTTGCCCCAACTCTGGCAGTCTTTAAGAGGAGCTTGAAGACGTGGTTGTTCCAGTGTGCCTTCCCAGAATAAGGAATCTCCCAGCAATATCTCCTTAAATGCACTTTATTAATGATCTAGGATTGTCTGCACGCCCCATCCCTCTCTGAAAACTCTCTGATGATGGTCCACGATGTACCCAGTTCTGGTTTCGGCTGTGGCTTTTGGCGTTTGTGGAATTTTTGTTTTTGTCTGTTGGTGTGGACAGCCATCTTTTTCTCCATTTTCCTGTAAGCGAGGTTGTCTATTTTGTCCCAGTCCTGGGAATTCATCTGGCTGACGTTAATATGGAGGTGCATCAGTTCCTTGTCTGTGTTTGCGAGTTCTTTGTGGATGGTGTAAATTCTCTCTCGTAAGAGGTTGCATTCCAGGCGGTCAAAGAGCCTGTGGTGTTTTGAAAGTCCTTTTGGCTGCAAGAAATTGTGGGATGGCAGCATAGAAGGAAAGTCAGGGAGCACAGTAGATGTGCTTTCCTGGTCCTTAGTTTTTCCAATTTTTGTGTGTCTTGGAACAGTTTCTCCCCGTAGAGATGTTCAATGTATTGTCAAAGGCTTTCACAACCTCTGAGGATGCTTGCCATAGATGCAAGCGAAACGTCAGGAGAGGATGCCTCTAGAACGTGGCCATATAGCCTGAAAAAACCTACAACCCATTAAATCATGAAATCAAACAAGGCACTTAACACATGAATCTATCCAAGGCAAGGCTCCCAAGGACCAGGAAAGATGTCTTGACCCAATTGCAACATTGCTTCGTCTGACTATAGATTCTGTACTTGACATTTTTATCTCCTAATCTACTCTGTGTCCCAAGCAGCCAGGAACAGATTTCGTTTCAGCCTTGACTCTGTTATCAGTCTCTCTTTCAGTCTGGTAGGACACCTGAGAGATTGGTTTGTTTGCCTGTGCTGACTGAAAATATGCCTTCTATCTACTGGCTCATTAATTTCTGCAGCTGGGCTTTTCTCAGGCTCAAAGTTGTTCCAGTGTGCCTTCCCAGAATAATGAATCCTTAGCACTTTGTCCTCCAAAGCACTTTATATTGGTTTAGGTCTGCTTGTATGTTTCCACCAACGCCCCATCACTTCTTCGCCCATGTCCAGCATTATTTTTTAAATTTTTAATTACATTCGGCCTACCCATAGATTTTAAAGTGTGTTGTCCTACTGTTAGTGCTATGTTATTGTTGTATTGTTTTTTGTTTGATTTTAATTGCTTGTATTGTTGTTGTTATTGCTTGTATTGTTGTATTATGGGCTTGGCCTCATGTAAGCCGCATAGAGTTAATTGTATTGTTTATTTTGTTTATTGCTTGTTATTTTATTACTGCTTATTGTTTTTGATATGTTGTTGGGCATGGCCTCATGTAAGCCTCACCAAGTCCCTTGGGGAGATGGTAGCGGGGTATAAATACAGTTGATTGATTGATTGATTGATTGATTGATTGATTGATTGATTATTGCAGCACATACAGAGGGTGCCTGGTTGGGGAGGTTGAATGCAATCATCCTGTTCACTTTTTGGAAGGATGAATGAGAAAGAGGGTTAAAATAACGAGTATCACAAGGGAACGCCATCACAGAAAGACTCTCCATAGGAGAACGAAGATTTGAGTCAATTCCACCTTGGAGTTTCTGATTCTCGTGTCTGATAACAGATTCTCACATATTAAATTATATTATTATATTATGAATATTATGATTATTATATTATTATATTATGAATATTATATTATGAATGTAATATTATGAATATAATATAATGTAATATAATATATTGCATATATATATATAATATGATTATATAATATGACTAGCTGTGCCCTGCCACGCGTTGCTGTGGCCTATAGTAAAACTTATCAAAGTTGAGGTAGATATCTGGACTATTATGTGTGTGCAGCGGCGGGGGGAATGATGGAGCCTGGGGTTGCGTGTGTGTGTGCGGCGGCGGGGGGAGTGGGGTTGCGTGTGTGTGTGCGGCGGCGGGGGGTGATGGAGCGTGGGGTTGCGTGTGTGTGTGCGGCGGCGGGGGGCGCGTGGGGTTGCGTGTGTGTGCGGCGGGGGACTGATGGAGCGTGGGGTTGCGTGTGTGTGTGTGCGCGGGGGGGGAGTGGGGTTGCGTGTGTGTGTGCGGCAGCGGGGGAGTGATGGAGCGTGGGGTTGCGTGTGTGTGTGTGGCGGCGGGGGGAGTGATGGAGCATGGGGTTGCGTGTGTGTGTGCGGCAGCGGGGGGAGTGATGGAGCATGGGGTTGTGTGTGTGTGTGCGGCAGGGGGGGTGTGGAGGAGTGGGGTTGCGTGTGTGTGTGCGGCGGCGGGGGGAGTGGGGTTGCATGTGTGTGCGGCGGGGGGGAGTGATGGAGCGTGGGGTTGCGTGTGTGTGTGCGGCGGCGGGGGAGTGATGGAGCGTGGGGTTGCATGTGTGCGTGCGGCAGGGTGTGTGTGTGTGCGGGAAGCGGCGCGGCGGGGCTTGGAGTGGGCATGGCTTCCGCAGAGGGAACGTTGGCCGGAAGGCTGTGTGCGCGCCAGGGAACTTGCGGCTGGGCGCCAATGCGCATGCTCAGTTGTTTTGCCGTTTTGTGAGTGTGTTGTTGTGTTGTTTTTCATTTTGAGTAGATATGTTTGTACCTTGTGGGTTGTGTTATGGGCATGGGAATTTTGGTTAAGTTTCGTTGGGGGGTTGTGGAGTTTTGCTGTCCGGTTGAACCAACCTAACAGATTTATATATATAGATTATATGATTGGAGTTTCTGATTCTCGTGTCTTACTTAAGTAAGTAAGTAAGTAAGTAAGTAAGTGAGTATCTGATTCTCGTGTCCCCTCCTCCCTCCCTCTTCTAGGTCTCTCGACGCTGGTGGTCCTTTCCACGGGGATGGGGAAATCCCTCTGTTATCAGCTCCCGGCCTACCTGTACAGCAAGCGGTCCAGGTGCATCACTTTGGTCATCTCGCCGTTGGTGTCTCTAATGGATGACCAGGTACGTCCGGAGATAGAATCACAGAATTGGAAGAGATCCCCAAGGATCATCCAGTCCAACCCATTGTGCCAGGCAGGAAAAGCACAGTCAAAGCACCCTTGGCAGATGGCCATCCAGGCTCTGTTTAAAAGCCTCCTGTAGCGAAATACCTGATTATGACGTATGTTTTAAATGTGTTTATTGATGTTGGGATATGATAAGTGCAGGCCAGCTTATGTGTCGCCTGAGCTGAGGCATTGCCATAGCGATGGAACCAGTTGTTAGAGATGCATCCAAGTTAGAGTTAATGGGACGGAGCTAACTGCCACTTGGTGGGAGCAGACATTTTTTTCCTTTTGGTCAGTCTTTGGTGAAGAATGTCATGCGATAGCATGAGTAGCATGCAGATTGACTCTAGCCCAGTTAACTTTGTGTGTGATGACTTGGCTCATAAAAGAAAAACACATGAGACTTCAGCTTAAAGTATTTATTTATTTATTTATTTGGTAGTTTTGTATCCCGGTCTTCTCACCTCCGTTCGAGGGACTCGGGCCGGTTTCCAACATCAATATTACAGACCGTCATTAAAACATCATATTTCTAAATCACACTAAAACATTAAAACATTGAAACAATTAAAATGGCAAAAATACAATCATATGATTACAGTGGTCAGTCGTCATCAAAGTCATTATTCGTCGTCATCCATCCATATCACAGGATCATGGCTCATTCGTCAAATGCCAATCCCCAAAGCCAGGTTTTCACCTGTTTCCTGAACGTTAAGATAGAAGGGGCAGTTCTGATCTCAAGTGGGAGTTCCAGAGTCGAGGGGCCACCACCGAGAAGGCCCTGTCTCTCATCCCCACCAGCCGTGCCTGTGAGGCCGGGCCATCCAGTCCAACCCCCTTCCAAGAAGATCTTAGCAATCTTGATGGTTCATAGGGGAGGATACGTTCGGACAGGTAAATTGGGCTGGAGTCGTTTAGGGCTTTATAGGTTAAGACCAGCACTTTGAATTGTGCTCGGAAGCTGACTGGCAGCCAGTGGAGCTGGTGTAACAGTGGAGTAGTATGGTCTCTGTACCCCGCTCCCGTTAGTAGTCTGGCTGACGCACGTTGGACTAATTGAAGCTTCCGGGCAGTCTTCAGAGGCAACCCCACATAGAGAGCTTTGCAGTAATCTAAACAGGATGTAACCAAAGCATGGACCACCGTGGCCAAGTCAGACTTCCCAAGCAGGCCCACACTTCCCATTGAAATACTATCTATATATATATAAATGCTCTGTGCATAATGAGTACCTTAAAAACAAAAGAACCAATGAACGAAATCACACCAAATTTGGCAACAAAACGTCTCACAACACAAGGAGTGACCATCACTCAAAAAATTATGATTTTGTCATTTGGGAGTTGTAGTTGCTGGGATTTATAGTTCACCTACAATCAAAGAGCATTCTGAACTCCATCAACGATGGAATTGAACCAAACTTGGCACACAGAACTCCCATGACCAACAGAAAATACTGGAAGGGTTTGGTGGGCATTGACCTTGAGTTTGGGAGTTGTAGTTCACCTATATCCAGAGATTACTGTGGACTCAAACAATGATGGATTTGTACCAAACTCTACACGAATACTCAATATGCCCAAATGTGGAGTTTGGGGAAAATAGACTCTTGATATTTGGGAGTTGTAGTTGCTGGGATTTATAGTACACCTACAATCACAGAGCTTTCTGAACCCCACCAACGATAGAATTGGGCCAAACCTCTCACACAGAACCCTCTTGTGGGCCACAGCAATGTGTGGCAGGGGACGGCTAGTATATTATATATCTTGTAAGCTGCTCTGAGTTCCCTTTGGGTGAGAAGGGCAGCATATAAATGTTGTAAATAAATAAAGTCAACTGTAACAACATTTAAAGGAATACAGAATAACCATCAAACATTGTACACCTGTGAATCCTTAAATAAATATTTCCTCAATCAGTTCTTTATAATTAACACTCATGTCCATTTATTGGAAAAAAAAATTTTTACCGCTGAAGATATTGGAAGAAAGGATTCTGGTTGCGATAATAAGTTACTCCTTTTTAAAAAAAATAAAAAGTGCCTCAAATAAAAACATTTTAAAAGTCAAGCCTCGGCACTACTTTAGTCTCCTTATTGCTCTGGTTATATATATATATACTAGCTGTATCTGTCACGCGTTGCTGTGGCCAACCTTCCCTCCCTGTTTCTCTTCTCCTTCCTTCCTTCCTTCCTTCCTTCCTTCCTTCCTTCCCTTTTCCTTCCTTCCCTCTTTTTCTTTCCCTTCTTCTTTCTTCCTTCTCTACCTGTTTCTTTTCTTGCTTCCTTTGCTCTTTGGTTCCATCCTTCCTTGTCTCTTTCCTTCTTTCCTTCCTTCCCTCCCTCTTTCTCTCTTTCATTCCTTCTCTCCTTCCCTCTTTCGCTTTTTTATTTCCTTCTCTCCTTCCTTCCTTCCTTCCTTCCTTCCTTCCTTCCTTCCTTCCTTCCTTCCTTCCTCTCTCCTTTCTCCCATCAACAGCTCTGAGTCTCTCCCTCCTTTCTCCTTCCTTCCTTCCTTCCCTCCCTCCCTCTTTCGCTCTTTCATTCCTTTTCTCCTTCCTTCCTTCTCTACCTTTCTTTCCTTCTTTTCTTCCCTCCTTCTTCTCTCCCTCCTTTCTCCTTCCTTCCCTCCCTCCTCCCCTCCTCCTCCCTCTTTCCTTCCCTTCTCCCTCTCCTCTCTCTCCTTCTTTCCTCTTTCTCCCCTTCCCTCCTCCTTTCTCCTTCCTTCCTTCCTTCCTTCCTTCCCTCCTCCCTCCCTCCTTTCCTCTTTCCTTCTTCTCTCCTTCCCTCCTTCTCTACCTTTCTTTCCTTCTTTCTTCCCTCCTCTTTCCTCTCCTTCTCCTCCTTCCTTCCTTCCTTCCTTCCTTCCTTCCTTCCCTTCCTCCCTCCCTCCCTCCCTCCCTCCCTCCCTCCCTCCCTCCCTCTTTCGCTCTTTCATTCCTTCTCTCCTTCCTTCCTTCTCTACCTTTCTTTCCTTCTTTTCTTCCCTCCTTCTTTCTCTCCCTCCTTTCTCCTTCCTTCCTTCCTTCCCTCCCTCCCTCCCTCCCTCTTTCGCTCTTTCATTCCTTCTCTCCTTCCTTCCTTCTCTACCTTTCTTTCTTTCCTTCTTTTCTTCCCTCCTTCTTTCTCTCCCTCCTTTTCTCCTTCCTTCCTTCCTTCCCCCTTTCTGTATATGTGATTTGTGTGTATATATTTCTGTATATATTTGTTTGTATATATATATGTGTGTGTGTGTGTGTTTGCGTATATATGTAGGTTTGTACATGTGTTGTAATGTGTGTGTTTTTTTGGGTTTTTTTGTTTTTTGGCTTTTGAAGTCCCTTCCACTGTGTTTTTCAGTGTGTTTATGAATGATGGTCACTCGTTGGCCTGAGAGGTGTCTTGTGTCCAAATTTGGTGTCCATTCGTCCAGTGGTTTGTGAGTTCTGTTAATCCCACAAACGAACATTACATTTTTATTTATATGCATTTGTTGTTTGTTCGTTGTGTCGCATTTTACATTACACCTCCAAAGAAGAAGCTACCACCACACTCTGAGGCAAAGGGTTCCACTGTTGAACAACTCTTTGTCATCAGGAAATTCAGGTGCAATCGTATTGGCCATTGGTTGTGTTGTGTCCAACCTTTCCGTAATTCTTCTCTCCTTTTGCAGGTCTCTGGCCTTCCTCAGCGCCTGAAAGCTGTCTGCATCCACTCCAACATGTCCAAGACCCAGAGAGAAGCTGCCATGGAGAAGGTGAGCAGGCTGTGCAATTGTCATGACTGCCTCACTTTATTATGTAAAAGAATTGAAAAATGTTCTGTTCCTGGCTTGAAAGTGTTATTTCCTGTTTCATTGTGAGGTCCTGGCTTTGAAAGTAGTTGGTCTACTCCAGAAACTTCATTTTTGTGGTTGCCACAAACTAAGTTGAATTGGTTGAGACTCTATGAGACATTCATTGAGTACGTGCTGCAGAATCATAGAATCCTAGAGTTGGAAGAGACCTCATGGGCCATCCAGTCCAACCCCATTCTGCCAAAAAGCAGGAATATTGCATTCAAAGCACCCCTGACAGATGGCCATCCAGCCTCTGTTTAAAAGCTTCCAAAGAAGGAGCCTCCACCACACTCCGGGGCAGAGAGTTCCACTGCTGAACGGCTCTCACAGTCCAGCAGTGGACCTCTCTAGAAGATAGAAGTGAATCCAAGGTTAAGGAAAAATCCATTCTTAGCTGTTTGGGAAATAGGACAGGGGTATAAGTGCCAAGTACAGAATCTAGCTTCAGATGAAGCATCCTTGGATTCACGTTAAGTTCCTGACCGTTTGTCTTTGATTCCTGGTTCAAGTGCCTTTGTTGTTAATTGCCTTTGTAATCAAGCCTCTAATTTCATGGACTTCTTTGTACTATTTCTTTTTGGACTAATTGCTCCTTTTTTCTTCCTAATCGATTGGATTTACCTTTTACTGTGGATTTCTTTTTATTGCTTTGGCTTTTATTTCCTTCTATAAACTGCTTGCTATTTTAACGCAACTCCTTTTCCTTGCTTTGGCTTTAATTTCCTTCTATAAACTGCTTGCTATTTTAACGCAACTCCTTTTCCTTGCTTTGGCTTTTATTTCCTTCAATAAACTGCTTGCTATTTTAACGCAACTCCTTTTCCTTGCTTTGGCTTTTATTTCCTTCAATAAACTGCTTGCTATTTTAACGCAACTCCTTTTCCTTGCTTTGGCTTTTATTTCCTTCTATAAACTGCTTGCTATTTTAACGCAACTCCTTTTCCTTGCTTTGGCTTTTATTTCCTTCTATAAACTGCTTGCTATTTTAACGCAACTCCTTTTCCTTGCTTTGGCTTTTATTTCCTTCAATAAACTGCTTGCTATTTTAACGCAACTCCTTTTCCTTGCTTTGGCTTTTATTTCCTTCTATAAACTGCTTGCTATTTTAACGCAACTCCTTTTCCTTGCTTTGGCTTTTATTTCCTTCTATAAACTGCTTGCTATTTTAACGCAACTCCTTTTCCTTGCTTTGGCTTTTATTTCCTTCTATAAACTGCTTGCTATTTTAACTCAACTGTGCGGTGTTTAAAGTCAGAATACATGAAGTTTGTGAGTAAACCATGTTATTTTAATGATGACTACTTTGTTTTTGGTCTCTTGAGAGCATGATTTAATCCAAGATGTTTTAAGGGAGAGTAGGAGAGCTTCGCTCCTCACGAGCTGAGTTTGTATCTTGACAGGTAAAGGCTGGGAAGGTCCACGTCCTCCTGCTCTCCCCAGAGGCCTTAGTTGGGGGAGGCCTTTCTGCCTCCAGCTGCCTCCCGCCTGCAGATCAGCTCCCGCCGGTGGCTTTTGCCTGTATCGACGAAGCGCACTGCGTCTCCGAGTGGTCCCATAATTTCCGCCCCTGTTACCTGCGCCTATGTAAGGTAGGAAGCCTGATTGGGCCTTGCCGTTGAGACTGACAAGTGCAAGAAAAAGTGTGCGGAAGCCATTTCAGGAAAGATATCAAAAATATGCCTCCAGAGTTAATCATTTGTCTCTAGTCATCAGTGTTGGCAGTTCAGTAGTTCTCATCAGCAACTTTTAATTACAGTTCATTAATGTTCCTTTTGTAGTTTCCCAGGCTTCGTTTCTTACGATGGTCTCTCCAGACTATATAGCCCCCAGCCATTTCAGGAAAGACATCAAAAATCTACCTCCAGAATGAATCATTTGTCTCTAGTCATCAGTGTTGGCAGTTCAGCAGTTCTCATTAGCAACTTTTAATTACAGTTCATGAATTTTCCTTTTGTAGTTTTCCAGGCTTCGTTTATTTCGATGGCCTCTCCAGGACTATATAGACCCCAACCATACACCTTTCATTCAATTTCATTCAAACCATACATCATATTTCATGACACATTAATGCTGTTGACTCATAGAATCATAGAATCAAAGAGTTGGAAGAGACCTCATGGGCCATCCAGTCCAACCCCCTGCCAAGAAGTAGGAACACCGCATGTTCAGCTTGTGGGCTTCTAAGGCTCTGGGATCCCTTTCATATATACTTTTGTTTGTTTAACCAAACCTAAATATTATGGGACTATGGCTTCCATTGATCCGGACACTAGGCTCCTATTGATGCAGTCTAGAACCGCATTGACCTTTTTGGCTGCGGCATTGCATTGTTAGGAGCCATGGTGGTGCAATGGATTAAACCCTTGTGCCAGCTGAGCTGCTGACCTGAAGGTCGACGGTTAAAATCTGTGAAATGAGGTGAGTTTCCATCTGTCAGCTCCATCTTCCCATGCAAGGACATAAGAGAAGGATGGTAACACATCGGGGTGTCCCCTGGGCAGTGTCCCTGGAGATGGCCAATTTACTCACACCAGAAGCGACTTGCAGTTTCTCAGGTCGCTTCTAACACAATTTTAAAAAATCACATTGTTGGCTCATGTTCAGGTTGTTATTTATTTATCGTGTCAGGAGCAACCAGACATTTGTATTACATTTTTAACAAAAACAAACAGACAGACAGATAGAACACAGAGTTTGCAAGTTTGGTAGTTGATTAAATGTCCTTTGACCAGTATCTGGCCCCTTGGAGTGCCTCTGGTGTTGTCGCAAGAAGGTCCTCCATTGTGCATGTGGCAGGGCTCAGGTTGCATTGCAGCAGGTGGTCAGTGGTTTGCTCTTCTCCACACTCGCATGTCGTGGATTCCACTTTGTGGCCCCATTTCTTGAGGTTGGCTCTGCATCTTGTGGTGCCAGAGCGCAGTCTGTTCAGCGCCTTCCAAGTTGCCCAGTCCTCTGTGTGCCCAGGGGGGAGTCTCTCATTTGGTATCAGCCATTGGTTGAGGTTCTGGGTTTGAGCCTGCCACTTTTGGACTCTCGCTTGCTGAGGTGTTCCAGCAAGTGTCTCTGTAGATCTTAGAAAACTATTTCTTGATTTAAGTCGTTGATGTGCTGGCTGATACCCAAACAGAGGATGGGCTGGAGATGTCTCTGCCTTGGTCCTTTCACTATTAACTGCTACTTCCCGGTGGATGTCAGGTGGTGCAATACTGGCTAAACAGTGTAATTTCTCCAGTGGTGTAGGGCGCAGACACCCAGTGATAATGTGGCATGTCTCATTAAGAGCCACATCTACTGTTTTAGTGTGGTGAGATGTGTTCCACACTGGGCATGAGTACTCAGCAGCAGAGTAGCATAGCGCAAGGGCAGATGTCTTCACTGTATCTGGTTGTGATCCCCAGGTTGTGCCAGTCAGCTTTCGTATGATATTGTTTCTAGCACCCACTTTTTGCTTGATGTTCAGGCAGTGCTTCTTGTAGGTCAGAGCACGGTCCAGAGTGACTCCAGGTATTTGGGTGCGCTGCAATGCTCCAGTGGGATTCCTTCCCAGGTAATCCTCAGAGCTCAGGATGCTTGTCTGTTCTTAAGGTGAAAAGCACATGTCTGTGTTTTAGATGGATTAGGGATCAGCTGGTTTTCCCTGTAATAGGCAGTAAGAGCACCTAGAGCTTCGGAGAGCTTCTGTTCAACCATCTCAAAGCTCCCTGCTTGAGTGAATGGCACGATCATCAGCATAGATGAAACTCTCTGTCCCTTCTGGCAGTGGCTGGTCATTTGTGTAGATGATGAACATGGATGGAGCAAGCACGCTCCCCTGAGGCAGGCCGTTCTTCTGTTTCCACTAAGACTTCTAGATCCCTTTCACATGGACTATTTCCAAGCCAGGTGTCCCCCATCCTATATCTCTACCTTGTCTTGCATTTCTCTCTTTTGGCCTTCCTTTTCTTAGCTTTAAGCGTGACCCCTTCTCCTCGGCAGGTTCTCCGGGAGCGCCTGGGCGTGCGCTGCTTCCTGGGCCTCACAGCCACGGCCACTCTCTCTACGGCGCGAGACGTGGCCCATCACTTGGGCATCTCGGGAGGCGAAGGGATTGCTGTGCGCTCTGCGGCTGTCCCTCCAAACCTGCACCTCTCCGTTTCCACAGACAGAGACAAGGACCAGGTAAGTCTGGGGCCAAGACGGGGTTTTTGCCTTCCCGTGGAGGGGGGTTTGTTTTGTTTGTTTGTTTTTTGTGTCAGGAGCGACTTGAGAATGTACAAGTCACTTTTATTGTGAGAGAATTGGCCGTCTGCAAGGACGACCTGATATTTTACCATCCTGTGGGTGGCTTCTCTCATGTCCCCTTATGGGAAGCTGGAGATGACAGACAGGAGCTCCCCTTGCTCCTTGGGTTCAAACTGCTGACTTTGTGCAGGTACAGCTGTACCAGGAGCTCCAATTTTGTTTGCTTTGCATTGAATGTTTGTTGTAGTCCTAAGTTTCAGGGACTCTGCAGATAGGTGGCTTCTTTTGGCTGCAATCATAGGGCAAGCCACCTGTCAATTATAGTTAGGTTCCCTGGTCCTCCCCCTTTGAGTTTTGGAGGGAATAGGAGCCTTTTTGGTTCAGTCCACACAGAGAAGCTTTCCATGCAGGACATAAAACCAAGAGCTCCTGTAGAAAGCTTCGTCTTCTACGGCTTGGCTGGGGAGATATACAGCCTACACGTTTGGCCGGGGAGATACAGCCCCACAGCTTGGCTGAGGATCATACAGCCTTACAGCTCCTTTGCTGAGGACTTCAGCCAGCCATCACCGAAACCTGAACTCCTTTTTCCCTGGAAGTCTACAAAGCTCTGCTTGGTAAGGGTCTCTCGCGGAAGCCAGAAGCAGTTGGTACCGGGTGCAGGGGCTCCATGCCAACAGAGGCAAAGACAGACTGCCCAGATTAGAAGTTAAGGATTTCCCCATTAGTTACAGTTATGAAGATAGTGCCTGTTCCCTGTGGACAAGATTGAAAGAGTCAATAGACTGTTAAGAAAGCCTTAAAGTACCTGTTTGATTTCATCAATAATAAAGAACTTTGTTGAACCTTTAAGCAATCTAAAGACTGTGTTTAAGGAAATCCAAAGGCCTTTAATCTGAGGCAGCCCCGGCGTCCCGTTGGGCACACAGAATTTATGTCCTGTCTACAGTCTTATGCACAGGCCCAGCGTGCGACAGCACAGACTTTGTGGTCAGCAGTCCTGCCAGCACAAGGGTTGGACCCATTGCGTTTCCAGGGGCTCCAGTGGAGGGTGTGAAGGGGTGTTTTGAGAGAGATCAGCAGCTGCCCCCAGCCATTAGGAATCGTAGAAGTTGGAAGTCCAAAACACCTGGAGGGCCAAAGTTTGCCCATGCCTGTTCTATAAACTATGCATCCCATCTCATGCATAACTTTGTTTACCATATTTTCTGTAAACAAACACAAGAGTCCAGACCATCACAATCAAGGGTGTTTCCAAAGGGTTTTGCAGTCCTGCACTTCTAGGCTGAGATGCTGCTTTTCTCCCTGGTGGTGACAGGCCCTTCTGAGCTTGCTGCAAGGAGAACGGTTTGGGGGCCTGGACTCCATCATCATTTACTGCACGCGCCGGGAGGAGACGGCTCGCATCGCAGCGCTCGTCCGCACCTGCCTCCAAGGGGTGAAGCTCAAAGAGCGTCCCGGAGATGAGGAGCAGGAGGAAGAAGAAGAGGGCAGCGCTGCTGCAAAAAGGAAGAAATCAAAAGGTGGGAGACAGGAAAGCCGGGTCTGTTTAGCTTGGAGAAGAGAAGGGGACACAAGGGCCATGTTGAAACTAGGTTCTTGTGGGTTTTTTCGGGCTATATGGCCATGTTCTAGAGGCATTCTCTCCTGACGTTTCGCCTGCATCTATGGCAAGCATCCTCAGAGGTGAGGTCTGTTGAGACTGGGAAGGGGTTTATATATCTGTGGAATGACCAGGGTGGGACAAAGGACTTTTGTAAGTTGGGCTAGATGTGAATGTTTCAACTGACCACCTTGATTAGTACACAATGGGCTAACTGTGCCTGGAGCAAACTCTTCTTGAAAGGTAATTAGATGCCTGTTTCCTCTCTGCTGTTTTTGCTGTTGCAATTTTAGAGTTTTTTTAATACTGGTAGCCAGATTTTGATCATTTTCATGGTTTCCTCCTTTCTGTTGAAATTGTCCACATGCTTCTTGTGGATTTCAATGGCTTCTCTGTGTAGTCTGACATGGTGGTTGTGAGAGTGGTCCAGCATTTCCGTGTTCTCAAATAATATGCTGTGTCCAGGTTGGTTCATCAGGTGCTCTGCTATGGCTGACTTCTCTGGCTGAAGTAGCCATGTTGAAATATTTGAAAGGGTGTCCCATTGAGGAAAAGGGAGAAAGCTTGTTTTCTGCTTTTGCCAGATGTTGTGTTTAACTGCTCTGGATCTACACTGCCATATAAAATCCAAATTATCTGATATGGCAGTGTAGACTCATGCAATCCAATTCAAAGCAGATAACATGGATTATCTGCTTTGACAATCTGGATTATATGGCAGTGTAGAAGGTCCTCGGGCAAAACCAAGGCCCCTTCTACATAGCTTTTTTGAACTGGGTTATACGGCAGTGTAGATTCAGATAATCCAGTTCAATAAGGGTAATGTGGGTTGTTGTAGGTTTTTCGGGGCTATATGGCCATATTCTCTGGAGCCCCCGGTGGCGCAGTGGGTTAAAGCACTGAGCTGCTGAGCTTGTTGATTGAAAGGTCGCAGGTTCGATTCGGGGAGCGACGTGAGCTTCCGCAGTCATCCCTAGCTTCTGCCAACCTAGCAGTTCGAAAACATGCAAATGTGAGTAGATCAATAGGTACCGCTCCGGCGGGAAGGTAACGGCGCTCCATGCAGTCATGCTGGCCACATGACCTTGGAGGTGTCTACGGACAACGCTGGCTCTTCGGCTTAGAAATGGAGATGAGCACCACACCCCAGAGTCAGACATGACTGGACTCAATCTCAGGGGACTACCTTTACCTTTACCTATGGCCATATTCTAGAACCGTGATGGTGAACCTATGACACGCATGTCAGCACTGACACGCATGGCTATTTTTGATGACACGCGACCACATACAGAGAAGTACACCTTATAAGAGCCAATCTAATTCCATCCTTAAACTTGTAAAAGGCTCTACAAATTTAACATCTGCACGTTTGAGCATTGTTCATAACTCAGCATGGAATATTCATTTTTCTTATTTAAACTATAAATATTGCAAAATTATGGGGGTTTTTTTCTCGAAGTTGACACCCCAACCAAGTTATGCTCAGGTTTTTGGCAAATTTTGACACACCAAGCTCAAAAGGTTGCCCATCACTGTTCTAGAAGCATTCTCTCCTGACGTTTCGCCTGCATCTATGGCAAGCATCCTCAAACTACCTCATTGTGCTTCTGATAAAGATGTTGAGAGAACTGTGAGACGCTGGTTGCGGAAACTGAATGTCGACTTCTTCCACGACAGAAAACCTGTTCATTGTTTGCAGAAATGTATCCAATTGTCTGGTGATTATGTGGAAAAGTGAATAGTGGTAGTTAAATAGCACATTGTCAAGTGAATAGTGGTAGTTAAAGAGCACATTCACTGGAAAAGTGAATAGTGGTAGTTAAAGAGCACATTATTTCTGCGCTTGATTTATTAAACTATTCCTATCCATACCCAAGTAATGAAGGTGGAGGTATTACTTTTCATTCAACCCTCATAGGAAGTGCCTTGGAACCTCTGAGCTGGGCTTTAGCTTCTGCCAGAAGAGAGTCTTTTGCCCTGTGGACTGAGTGTTTCTCTTGGCTTCTGTGCAGCTAAAAAGAGCATCCGCCGCCCTCTGAAGTGGATCGCCGATGCCTACCACGCCGGCCTGTCTGCTGCTGAGCGCCGCCGGGTGCAGAACAACTTCATGTCTGGCCAGCTGAGGGTTGTGGCAGCGACTGTGGCCTTCGGGATGGGGCTGGACAAGTCTGACGTGCGAGGTGTCATCCACTACAACATGCCCAAGAACTTCGAGAGCTATGTCCAGGAGATCGGGAGGGCTGGAAGGGACGGGAAGCCCGCTCATTGCCACCTCTTCCTGAACCCAGAGGTGAGGCCTGGTTGGGTCTGTTTCTCCTCGGGAGGGGGATGAACAACAACAACAACAACAACAACAACGTTTATTGATTACCCACTTTCCCCAGGGAACAACACAGTTACAACACCCCATTATGAAACAGGCATGGGCAAACTTAGTCCCTCCAGGTGTTTTGGACTTCAACTCCCACAATTCCTAACAGCCGTTAGGCTGTTAGTGTGCTGATACGGTTGTACCAGGAGCTCCAAACTCCCTTTCGTTCTTTGAGCATTTGCATGTGCTTGTTCTGGCCATGCATTTTGCAGTTGGATGGTTCCTGCTAGGCTGCAGTCATGGGGCTAGCTGTTGCAATCCAGAGCAGGGAACGAGGCCCTAAGATAACTATCCACCACACTTGACTGTGAAAAACAATCCTTTTTTATTGAAGAAAAATGATTACAAAATAAAGGAAAAATGCAAGTCAAAAGCCACAGCAAAATCAGCAAACATGAATTTAAATGGACAAAAACAAAACCCAAAGCCACACTGTAAAATACTGGAACCTGTTAGCAATCCACTAACCGTACTTGATATCCTAGAAATCTTTCAAGACGATGGCCAGGGAAACCGGGAGAACTGCCAAGGTCTTCATCAATCTGAAACGATGCCTGAACTGAGAAAGTCAGCCCGGCGGAAGGCAATTAAAGCCGAAGAATTGGTTCCGTGAACCGCCCCTCTGCTTTGAAGCCAATGTTTGTATTTCTTTTAATCGGGAAGACCTTCGCAAGCGGAGTGATTTACTTCTGTCTTGCCAAATCTGGCCCCTTCTGTTCTCATTAAAGTTACCAGGTGCAGAAGGGAGTGAAAGGTCATGGCTTCCCTCTGAAACATTCTCATGAACACTGGTACTTTCATTTTCCAAATCTACAGAAGTTCCTTCCTCACTAATTTCAGGAACATTGGCATTTTCCAAACCTACAGAAGTTTCTTCCTCACTAATTTCAGGAGCATTGGCATCAAGAGGTACATTTTCATTAGCATCAGTATATCAATATATTTTCATTAGCATCAGGAGGAACAAACAGAGAATCAGGTTCAAGTTCAAACTCAGGCTGAACCCCAACACTAGCCAGCTGTCTATCATCGTTAAGTTTTAGTTCCGCCCTTTTTTCCAGGTTCAGGAGGGAAAGGGAACCATTTTAGTTCAGTCTTACAGTTGGAAGCTCAGCTACAGGACGTGAAAGTTTTCTACTTGTAGAGAAGCTTTGTTTCTTACAAAATCTGGGGGAAAACAGTCCCAAAAGCTCTGGCTGGGGAATTTACAGCTTCACAGCTTTAAGAACAGTCTCTAAAGAAAGGCTTTTAAGAGAAACAGCTTCAGAGCACAACCCTTGTTGGGGTTGGAGAAATGGACCTACAACTTTCGTGGGAAAAATCCTAAGGACTCCAGCTGGAAATTCTTCAGAGCCTTGGCTAGTAGGTCTACTCGGTTACCCAAGAAGCAATTTGGAACCGGGAGTAGGGCCCACACCAGCAAAGCCTAGAAAGCAGATTGCCCAGGGAGGGGTCAAAAAGGGTTTTCCTCGTAAAGGAAAGAAATAGTTCTCCAAGCAAGTTGCCTGTCCATTGTAGACAAGTTAAGAAGCATTTGTTTGATTTGTTGAAGATCTAAGATTGTTTGTTGAAGACCTAAGCAATAATAAAGAACTTTGTTAAACTTTTAAGCTTCTAAAGACTTTGTATAGGAAAACCCATAGGGCCTCTCATCCGAGGCACCCCGGCTTCCCGCTGGGCACAAAGAGCACGTCCTGTTCAAAAGCCAATTGCTATAGGCCCAGCGCGCAACAGCACAGTTAGGAATGGTGGGAGTTGAAATCCAAAACACCTGGAGGGCCCAAGTTTGCCCATGCTTGCAAACATTATATCAAATAAATATATTAGAACGTATTTCTGTGTGATACATACCATATATGCTCAAGTATAAGCCAACCTGAATATAAGCTGAGGGACCTAATTTAACCCCAAAAAGTGGGGAAACGTTTTGACTCAAATATCATCCAGGGTTGAGAAATGCAGCCGCTTCTGGTAAATTTCAAAATAAATTAGGTGCCAATAAAATTACATTAATTGAGGTATCAGTAGTTTAAATTTTTGTGAATGTTTACATAAAACTGTAATTTAAGATAAGACTGTCCAACTCTGATTCAACCATTATTCTTACCTTCTTCAATATATATGTGGTTATGTAGGCTTCCAATAATAATAAAAAGAGTAAAATAAAAAATGTAATAAAAATAATAATAGAGTAAAATAATGGAAATGTAATAATAACTATAATAATAGAGTAAAATAATAAATGTAATAATAATTATGATGATGATGATGATGAGAGTAAAATAATAAATGTAATAATAATAATAATAATAATAATAATAATAATAATAGAGTAAAATAATGGAAATTTACTAGGTTCTTGTGGGTTTTTTCGGGCTATATGGCGACGTTCTAGAGGAATTCTCTCCTGACATTTCGCCTGCATCTATGGCAAGCATCCTCAGAGGTAGTGAGGTCTGTTGGAATTAGGACAATGGGTTTATATATCTGTGGAATGACTGGGGTGGGACAAAGAGCTCTTCTCTGCTGGAGCTAGGTGTGAATGTTTCAACTGACCACCTTCATTAGCATTTGAAGGCCTGGCTGAGCCTGGGGGAATCTTTTGTTGAGAGGTGTTAAGATGTGCCTGGTTGTTTCCTCTCTGCTGTTTTGCTGTTGTAATTTTAGAGTTTTTTAATACTGGTAGCCAGATTTTGTTCATTTTCATGGTTTGATTATTTATTTATTTGCAACATTTCTATGCCACCCTTCTCACCCCGAAGGGGACTCAGAGTGGCTTACATATAATATATTATATTATTAGCATCATACAATATCAGCATTAAACATTGCTATATTGCACCATACTGCTATATTGTAATATTATAAGTAATATTACATGTAATATGAATATATAATTATAATATCATATGATTATATTGCATTACATTATAATATTATAAATATTATATGTATAATGTAATAATAACTGTATTGTGATATGTATAATGTTATTATATTATTATATATTATATTATATTATTATTATATGTATAAATATTATATGTATAATGTAATAATAACTGTAATAATAGAGTAAAATAATGGAAATTTATTTATTTATTTGCGACATTTCTATGCCGCCCTTCTCACCCCGAAGGGGACTCAGAGCGGCTTACATATAATATATTATATTATTAGCATAGTACAATATCACATTATATATTACTTTATTGTACTATACCATTATATTGTAATATTATTAGTAATATTACATGTAATATAATATATATATATAATATCATATGATTATATTGCATTACATTATAATATTATAAATATTATATGTATAATGTAATAATAACTGTATTGTTATATGTATAATGTTATTATATTATTATATATTATATTATATTATTATTATATATTAAATATATATATATATATAATAATATAATATAATATAATTATAATAATATAATAAATTTAATATAATAATAATATTATTAATATATAATATTTATAATATAATGTTAATATATAATAATATAACATAATATATTATAATAATTATTATTATATTATAATATTATTATAATATTATAATGTAATGTATAATTATATTATATATATATATATATATATAATATATAATATTATATTATATATATATAATATTATTATATTATATATGTATAATATTATTATATGTATGGAGCCCCCGGTGGCGCATGGGTTAAAGCTTGTTGATCGAAAGGTCGCAGGTTCGATTCCGGGGAGCGGCGTGAGCTTCCGCTGTCAGCCCTAGCTTCTGCCAACCTAGCAGTTCGAAAACATGCAAATGGGAGTAGATCAATAGGTACCGCTCCGGCGGGAAGGTAACGGCGCTCCATGCAGTCATGCTGGCCACATGACCTTGGAGGTGTCTATGGACAACGCTGGCTCTTCAGCTTAGAAATGGAGATGAGCACCACACCCCAGAGTCAGACATGACTGGACTTAATGTCAGGGGACAACCTTTACCTTTACCTTTTATTATATGTATAAATATTATATGTATAATGTAATAATAACTTTAATAATAGAGTAAAATAATAAATGTAATAAAATAATAATAATAGAGTAAAATTACTTAGGTGATCCCTCGTAGCCCAGAATGATAGTCTTCCAGATGTGGTGCCTTGGCTGTGGGTTCATAGTTGGTTATGAAGCCCTATTTTTGATCCACACATTCTCCCGCAGTGAAGACATCGTTTTCCAAGTGGAAGGTGGTCCCGGTAAGGATTGGCTTGACATGCCTTCCTCTTGGCACTTTTCCCCCTTTTTGCCCTCCATTCGTGCCTCTTCGAATTCCACAGCACTGATGGTCACAGCTGACTTCCAGTTAGAGTGCTCAAGAGCCAGGGCTTCCCAGGTCTCGGTGTCTATGCCATGGTTTTTAAGGTTGGCTTTGAGCCCATCTTTGTATCTCTTTGCCTGTCCACCAACATTATGTTTCCCGTTCTTGTGTTGGGAGTAAAGTAACTGCTTTGATTCGGAAAACGCGACCAGTCCAACGGAGTTGGTGGCGTAGGAGCATTGCTTCAATGCTGGTGGCCTTTGCTTCTTCCATCACGCTGTCCGTCTGCCTTCTCAATAATTAAGTCAGAAGGGCTTCTTTCCCAACCGCTCTCCCTTTCCTCCAGTTCACGCTGTCGGCCTTTTCCTTCTCCAGGGAGAGGACTTGCATGAATTGAAGCGGCACATCTATGCGGACACGGTCGACTTCTTCACGGTGAAGAGGCTGGTGCAGAAGGTCTTCCCCCGATGCAAGTGCCGGGAGCTTCACCAGAAGCAGGAGCAGCTCAGCAAGGTCAGGGAATCATAGAATCATAGAATCAAAGAGTAGGAAGAGACCTCATGGGCCATCCAGTCCAAGCCTCTGCCAAGAAGCAGGAATATTGCATTCAAATCACCCCTGACAGATGGCCATCCAGCCTCTGTTTAAAAGCTTCCAAAGAAGGAGCCTCCACCACACTCCGGGGCAGAGAGTTCCACTGCTGAACGGCTCTCACAGTCAGGAAGTTCTTCCTCATGTTCAGGTGGATTCTCCTCTCTTGTAGTTTGAAGCCATTGCTCCGCGTCCTAGTCTCCAAGGAAGCAGAAAACAAGCTTGCTCCCTCCTCCCTGTGGCTTCCTCTCACATATTTATACATGGCTATCATATCTCCTCTCAGCCTTCTCTTCTTCAGGCTAAACATGCCCAGCTCCTTAAGCCGCTCCTCATAGGGCTTGTTCTCCAGACCTCTTATCATTTTAGTCGCTCTCCTCTGGACACATTCCAGCTTGTCAATATCTCTCTTGAATTGTGGTGCCCAGAATTGGACACAATATTCCAGGTGATGTTGTGGATGGGCAGAGGGGTTACTGAACACCCTCCTCCTCCTCCTCCTTTTCATGTTTGCAAGCTCAGTTGGGAGTAGCTTGGAAGCCTGATCCTAAAAGTGCCCCCTGGCTTAGTGCCCAGGGGTGAGTTTGCCCCACATAGTCTTGTAACGTCTCAAATAAAAATAATTTTATTTCTTACCCACCTCTCTACATGGCTCAAAGTGGGTTACAGCATAATTATAACACACAAACATTATGAAAATTGGGTTGTTGTAGGTTTTTTGGGCTGTATGGCCATGTTCTAGAACAGTGGTTCTCAACCTTCCTAATGCTGCGACCCCTTAATACAGTTCCTCATGTTGTGGTGACCCCCAACCATAATATTATTTTTGTTGCTACTTCACAACTGTAATTTTGCTGCTGTTATGAATCGTCATGTAAGTATGCAGGACGTATTTTCATTCACTGGACCAAACTTGGCACAAATACCCAATATGCCCAAATTTGAATGCTAGTGGGGTTGGGGGGAGGGACTGGTTTTATCATTTGAGAGTTGTACTTGCTGGGATTTATAGTTCGCCTACAATCAAAGAGCATTTTGATCTCCACCAATGATGGAACTGAACCAATCTTGGCACACAGGACTCTCATGACCATCAGAAAACACTTGAAGGGTTTGGTGGGCATCGATCTTGAGTTTGGGAGTTGTAGTTCATCTACATCTGTGGACTCAAACAATGATGGATCAGGACTAAATTTGGCACAAATACTCAATATGCCCAAATGTGAACATTAGTGGAGTTTGGGGGAAATAGACCTTGGCATTTGGGAGTTGTAGTTGCTGGGATTTATAGTTCACCTACAATCAAAGAGCATTTTGATCTCCACCAATGATGGAACTGAACCAATCTTGGCACACAGGACTCCCATGACCAACATAAAACACTAGCCGGGTTTGGTGGGCATGGATCTTGAGTTTGGGAGTTGTAGTTCATCTACATCTGTGGACTCAAACAATGATGGATCAGGACCGAATTTGACACAAATACTCAATATGTTCAAATGTGAACACTAGTGGAGTTTGGGGGAAATAGACCTTGGCATTTGGGAGTTGTAGTTGCTGGGATATATAGTTCACCTACAATCAAAAAGCATTCTGAACCCCACCAACAAGAGAATTGGACCTAACTTTCCACACATAACCCAGATGACCAAGAGAAAATAATGTGTTTTCTGATGGTCTTTGGTGACCCCTCGGACACCCTCTCGTGACCCCCCCAGGGGTCCCGACCCCCAGGTTGAGAAACACTGTTCTATGTCCTGCCTCGGAGTTTAAGATCTTCTGGGGAGGCCCTGCTCTTGGCCCCACCTCTATCACAAGTGAGATTGGTGGGGACGAGGAGCAGGGCTTTCTTTGAGATTAGTGTTTGTTTGCGGTTTTGTTTTTGTTTTGGAGATTGTTTTGGCTGGAATCACTCAGTTCTTGTGGGTTTTTTCGGGCTATATGGCCACTGTTCTAGAAGCATTCTCCCCTGAGGTTTCGCCTGCATCTATGGCAAGCATCCTCAGAGTTTGTGAGGACCTCACAGGACCTCTAGGATACTATATCTGCGTGTGTGTGAATCATATATTTCTATCTATCTATCTATCTATCTATCTATCTATCTATCTATGTATATCTATGGCTGGATGGCTCTTTGTCAGGAGGACTTTGATTACGTTTTCTTGCCCTGATGAAGGGAGCTGGATTGGATGGCCTTAAGTATTTTCTGTTGGTCATGGGGGTTCTGTGTGGGAAGTTTGCCCTGATTCTGTTGTTCATGGGGTTCAGAATGCTCTTTGATTGTAGGTGAACTGTGAATCCCAGTGTGTACAACTCCCAAATGTCAAGGTCTATTTCCCCTCAAACTCCATCTGTGTTCATATTTGGGCGTATTGAGTGCTTGTGTCGAGTTTGGTCCAGATCCTTCATTGTTTGAGTCCACAGTCCTCTCTGGATGTAGGTGAACTACAACTCCCAAACTCAAGGTCAATGCCCACCAAAGCCTTCTAGTGTTTTCTGTTGGTCATGGGAGGTCTGTGTGCCAAGTTTGGTTCAATTCCATCGTTGATGGAGTTCAGAATGCTCTTTGATTGTAGGCGAACTATAAATCCCAGCAACTACATCTCCCAAATGACAAAATCATAATTTTTTTGAGTGATGGTCACTCCTTGTGTTGTGAGACGTTTTGTTGCCAAATTTGGTGTGATTTCGTTCATTGGTTCTTTTGTTTTTAAGGTACTCATTATGCACAGAGCATTTTATATATATAGATATACTGAGAGAACAGTTCTCTGGGGTCTTGAATTGTAAAAGGGGACAGCTAGTACAATATAATAATATATAGCAGTATTTTACCCCCCCCCCCCCCACACACACACACACACACAATTTCATCACACTATTGTATGTTGGATTTTGGTATCCACTGCGTGTCTTGGGAACTAATCCCAGCAGATATATCAACAGTATTCATCATTATCATAATGAGCACCAGAATGGTGTTCGGGTTGGTACTAATTGGGCCTCTCAGGAGAAGGAATATCCCATAGGAAGCCTCCCACCAGAGACTTTGGATGTGACAAAAACACTTTCGACCTGCAGAGCGATGAAGTGGAGGATGCCGAGATGTTGGCTCTCTCAGAGGAAAGCGGAGGGGAGAATCCCAGTTCGGACGCCGGGCGACCAAGAGTGTGTTACAGACACGAGAGAGCCATCCCTATCCAGCCGACCGTGGAAGCCTTGGACTTCCGAGAGGAAGGTGAGGAGCCCTGAGATCGAGAATCGGGGGAATAGCAGAGTGAGAGGCAGATTATCTTCCCTGAAACAAGAGCATAATGGATCTGGTGCCTCCCTGTAGTTTGATGGGATAGAATGTGACCCTGTCTAGCAGGCATGGGCAAATCTTGCCCTTTTCCCCTGCTCCCAGACTCTTTGTAAATAACCAAGTATTATTTATTTATTTATTATTTACAGTATTTGTATTCTACCCTTCTCACCCCGTAGGGGACTCAGGGCAGATTACAATGTACATATACATGGCAAACATTCAATGCCATAGACACACAACATATATAGACAGACACACAGTGGCATCGGCCTCACAGCAAGGCAGGAAACAGATCGATCACAGCCACCTTAGGCTATAAACTACTTTATTTTACAACTATATACATTAGAAGCTACTTAACACTCAGCACATCGTAAACTTGCTTCTTTCCCGTCCGATTGTAACATTGCGAACACACGAACTCTGTTATCAGTACTAGTCCACACCTCTTGCATTCCAGAGTGACATATGACGTATGACGCTGCATCCATTTGTTCTATACACTTGATTTATGACCTCTCTAGGAATGCCATTCCCTCCATGGTTCAGTTAACTCTTTCCACACAGGAATGCATTACCCTCGGCATCTGAACATCCACCAACAAGTGGGCTACAGAATCAAAATACAAATGAAAAATCACAGAAGTGGCAGAAATATACAATGCCAGAAAACTGCATTATTATTATTATTATTATTATTATTATTATTATTATTATTATTATTATTTTACTGACACAAAACCACAGTATGTCGCAGCAAACAAGATTTCTGTGCTGGATTTCGTATCACAGAATGATGCGCGTAGATGTATTTTCGAATGATGCACGCAGATATATTTTCTAATGATGCGCACTGAGTTATTATTATTATTCGAACATAAAACCACAGTATGTCACAGCAAAAGAGATCTATATGCTGGATTTCGTATCACAAAATCACAAGTCGAACACTTCCCAAGCATCTAGGACTATCTGATTTATTATTATTATTATTAGTAGTAGTATTGTTATTATTATTTTACTGACACAAAACCACAGTATGTCGCAGCAAACGAGATCTCTATGCTGGATTTTGTATCACAAAATCACAAGTTAAACACTTCCCAAGCATCTAGGACTGTGTGATGTATTATTATTATTATTAGTAGTAGTAGTAGTAGTAGTAATAGTAGTAGTAGTAGTAGTAGTAGTAAAAACCTGAATAATACTTTAAATTATTCTTAACGAGGGAATTGTTTCGAACAGATGGATGCCATGAAGCATCACATACGCAGATCTCCCCAAATACCCCTTCCTCCCATTGACCAGCCCCCTCCTCTCTTTGTTCAGGTATCGAGACGCTTCTGTGCTACCTGGAGCTTCACCCTCAGCGCTGGCTGGAGATGCTGCACCCCACGTTCTCCTCCTGCCGAGTGATCTGCTATGGGGGACCCCAGCAGCTGCGGACAGTGGCCCAGAGGTGAGGAAGGCTAACACCATTCTTGTTGTTCATTCGTTCAGTCATTTCCGACTCTTCGTGACTTCATGGACCAGTCCACACCAGAGCTCCCTGTCAGTCGTCGCCACCCCCAGCTCCTACAAGGTCAATCCAGTCACTTTCTAGGCTGCATTTATATACTGTCTAGATCAGGGGCCCTCAAACTAAGGCCCAGGGGCCGGAAATGGCCCCCCAAGGTAATTTACCCGGCCCTTGCTCAGGGTCAACCTAAGTCTGAAACGACTTGAAAGCACACAACAACAACAATAACAACCCTATCTAATCAATCAAAAGCAGGCCCGCACTTCCCATTGAAATGCTAATAAGTTTATATTTGTTAAATTTGTTCTTCATTTTAATTATTGTATTGTTTTTAAAAGTGTTTTTTGCACTACAAATAAGATATGGGCAGTGTGCATAGGAATTCATTCATGTTTTTTTCAAATTATAATCTGGCCCTGTCGTGAACCAGAAGCCTTAAAGAAGCTAAACACAAGTAAAAGGTCCAAACAAGGTTTATTAAAGTAACAAAAAGAGCTTAGAAACACTTAACTCAGTGTATCTAGCAAGAAAGCAAAGTCTGTAGCAAACTGCTATGCAAAAAACGTAACTTGGAGAATAATCCGGATTATACTGGAATATGATCCAGGATAACAAAAAACTCAAGCAAACTGCTTCAAAGTCACAGAGTTCATGAAACACGAAGTAACAAGGTGGAAGCAAACAAAAACGTAGTCAGAAAACAGTCCAAAGTCGAGGCATGTCCAAAAGCAGAAGTTAGGTCCAAAACAGGGTGTCGTTGTCCCAAAAACAATCCGGAGTCAACAAGGAAGTAGAAGTCAGCACTTACAGGATTCCAGTCAGTAGAAGCACGGAAACACAGCAATCTACAGTCCCAGGACCCAAGGCGAAAGTAATGGCAGCAACAAAGTCCCAAGCCCAAATACAACACTTTGCCTACTGCAAAGTTCCCAAAGTTTGATACCTATTTTTATCCTATAACTCATTATCGGATGATGAGCTGCTCTCCACCCTGTCTTCATCACTCTCAGGTGCTTTAGCTTTTACAGCTGCTCGCCACCGCCCGTCTCTCCAACTTTTCCAGCATCTATCAAGACTTAGATCACCCCATGTATTACCAGGTTGCCAGTCTCCCGAAAACCCTTCAAACTCCTCCCTTGATGTGGGTTGTGTACATATGTCCCTGATCTCTTGCACACAGGTCCAGTCTAGCCCATCCTCCTCTCTGTTATCACTCTCAGTCCCATCACTCCCCGTGAACCCCATGAAGTCTTCCACCTCAGTTGGAGCATTAAGTATTTCACGGATCTGCTTCCTTTCCCGTTCTTCATCTGACTCTTGCTCCCGAGTAACCCACTTCAAACCTCTACTCCCGTCTCCCTCCTCCATCTCAGAATCTGTGAAACCTTCGAACGACTCAGTATCTGTAGGTGTCATGAATATCTCCCTAATTTGCTTCCTTTGCTGCTCTTGCTCCAACACCTGAGCAGCCCGTTTTCCCCTTCTACTACTAGTTGTAGCTTGATCAGCACACTCTACTACAACAGGCCCTCCAACAGTTTGAGGGATTGTGACCTGGCCCTCTGCTTAAAAAGTTTGAGGACCCCTGCTCTAAACCTTCATCCAGGTCATTTGATTTATTAAAATATTCCCATCCAAACCCAAGCAACGAAGGTGGAGGCATTGCTTTTCATTCAACCCTCGTACATAAACATAGGACATGCAGAATGTACATAAACCACAGATTAGTAAATCATGTTGTTTATATGAATGTAAAAATTATTATTATTATTATTATTATTATTATTATTATTATTATTACTATGTTTATTTCTACCCTGATTTTTCTGTTTCCAAAGGAAACTCAATGATTATAGTTAGCAAAATATCTCTTCACAACTTTCCCTTTTCATATAAAAGGCAAATAAGCTCCTTACGCATTAAAGCATGAATACAAAAAAACCATAACAGATGAAGACACCACTCTGTTTACTGTGTTAAAATGTTCAATGATGTAGGCCAAGTGCATTTGTTTTCATGCTTCTATAATAATACAAATGAATTACGCTTCTAACTAATTTTCTAGCTGTGCGATCGAAAAAACGGGAAGTGTTCCAAACGGCTGATTAGAGCGGTTTCCGTGCCAGCTGCCTCTGAATGCAGCTCCTTGGAGGATGCTGGAGTGGAAATTGAATCCCCAATAGCGTTGCTCTTGCTGTTTGTTTAATTAATTTGTACAATACTCACCGTAGCGCAAAGTGTGAGGGATGAATTAAGAGCTTTGAAAACATCGCCTCCTTCCTCCCTTCCCTCTCTTCTGAGATTAACACAACACCTTAACACATATGGTTTCCCAGCTGAGTTCTGCAAGCAGAAGGGTGAGGAATCCACCTATGAAAAATCCTGAATTCTCTTGCAAGATTTAACACTCATTTGTTGTGATAATGAAGAATGCACAGGCACCAAACTTGGATTTCTGATTCAATTTATTTATCGTGACAGGCAACCGAACAGTTGTATTACATTTTTACAGAGACACTCGCTGGAACACCTCAGCAAGCGAGAGTCCAAAAGTGGCAGGCTCAAACCCAGAACCTCAACCAATGGCTGATACCAAATGAGAGACTCCCCCCTGGGCACACAGAGGACTGGGCGACTTGGAAAGCGCTGAACAGACTGCGCTCTGGCACCATGAGATGCAGAGCCAACCTTGAGAAATGGGGCCACAAAGTAGAATCCACGACATGCGAGTGTGGAGAAGAGCAAACCACTGACCACCTGCTGCAATGCAACCTGAGCCCTGCCACATGCACAATGGAGGACCTTCTTGTAGCAACACCAGAAGCACTCCAAGTGGCCAGATACTGGTCAAAGGACATTTAATCAACTACCAAACTCACAAATTTTGTATTTTGTCTGTTTGTTTGCTTTGTTCTGTTAGAAATGTAATATAATTGACTGGTTGCCCTGACACGACAAATAAACAAATAAACAGACAGACAAAACACAGAGTTTGCAAACTTGGTAGTTGATTAAATGTCCTTTGACCAGTATCTGGCCACTTGGAGTGCCTCTGGTGTTGCTGCAAGAAGGTCCTCCATGGTGCATGTGGCTGGGCTCAGGTTGCATTGCAGCAGGTGGTCAGTGGTTTGCTCTTCTCCACACTCGCATGTCGTGGATTCCACTTTGTGGCCCCATTTCTTGAGGTTGGCTCTGCATCTCGTGGTGCCAGAGCGCAGTCTGTTCAGCCTTCCATGTGCCCAGGGGGGGGAGTCTCTCATTTGGTATCAGCCATTGATTGAGGTTCTGGGTTTGAGCTTGACACTTTTGGACTCTCGCTTGCTGAGGTGTTCCAGCTAGTGTCTCTGTAGATCTTAGAAAACTATTTCTTGATTTAAGTCGTTGACGTGCTGGCTGATACCAAAACAAGGGATGAGCTGGAGATGTCTCTGCCTTGGTCCTTTCACTATTGGCTGCTACTTCCCGGCGGATGTCAGGTGGTGCAATACCGGCTAAGCAGTGTAATTTCTCCAGTGGTGTAGGGCGCAGACACCCTGTGATAATGCGGCATGTCTCATTCAGAGCCACATCCACTGTTTTAGTGTGGTGAGATGTGTTCCACACTGGGCATGCATACTCAGCAGCAGAGTAGCATTGCGCAAGGGCAGATGTCTTCACTGTGTCTGGTTGTGATCCCCAGGTTGTGCCAGTCAGCTTTCGTATGATATTGTTTCTAGCGCCCACTTTTTGCTTGATATTCAGGCAGTGCTTCTTGTAGGTCAGAGCACGGTCCAGAGTGACTCCCAGGTATTTGGGTGTGTTGCAATGCTCCAGTGGGATTCCTTCCCAGGTAATAATCCTCAGAGCACGGGATGCTTGTCTGTTCTTGAGATGAAAAGCACATGTGTTAGGGATCAGCTGGTTTTCCCTGTAATAGGCAGTAAGAGCACCTAGAGCTTCGGAGAGCTTCTGTTCAACCATCTCAAAGTTCCCTGCTTGAGCAGTAATGACACAATCATCAGCATAGATGAAACTCTCTGTCCCTTCTGGCAGTGGCTGGTCATTTGTGTAAATCTTAAACAGAGATGGAGCAGTGTTAAAAATCCACCTGTTAAAAATCCCGAATTCTCTTGCAAGATTCAATACTCATTTGGTGTGATAAAGAAGAATGTATAGACACCAAACTTGGATTTCTGGTTCAATGAGAGCTCGCCATTTCTCAGACTAAAGGAAGAGTGTTTATTGCCCAAAGTTATCCAGGGAGCTGGTATGATAGAGTGGTTTGAGCATTGGTCTGAGCATGGTTTGAGCATGGAACACACACACACACATACATGAGGGTTGAATGAAAAGTAATACCTCCACCTTCGTAACTCCTCAACAGAGGGCAGTACTGGTATGCAGCTGTTGGGGCTAAGCTAGTTTCCGACGATGAGGATGATAGGATTCAGATTCCTGTTGGGTTTCAGCTTCCTGGCTCTTTGTCTGTGCCTCAAATCTCTGAGCCTGCTTCCGAGGCTCTCACAGACAGTGCAGTGTCAACACAGCTGTTTTCACCAGAAAGGAATTTTAACGAAGGAGATAGCAAGCAGGTGCCTTCCCACGATGATACCGAAAGTGTAGATAAGGATTTGACCCGAGAAGCTCGCCTTGATCTCCAGGTCAGGCGGAGTTCGTGTCTGGCAAGCAGACGGGAGGCTAGCTCGGTGAAAGGTCATCGCAATGCTTTTATGATGCTGAGAGCCTAATGTTTTGATATTAGAAAGGTATTTAGGCCTCCTGGAAACTCTGTGAAAGTGTCAGTTCAACGTAGCTTATTAGCCTGAAAGCTTCATGGAATAACCTTAGCCTGGAAAGCAGTAGGCTTGGGATTTCTTGCATTGTGATTCTTGGGGCAAATATTTCATTGCTTGTACCTGGGACTCTGGTTTGAACTTTGCCAATAGGATTATGTCTCCTGTTTTTACCTGAAGATCTTTGGAACTGTATCTGCATTTAACCTTAATCTTTAGAACTTTGCAATGCTTACTCTTTATTTTGACTTGGGATTTTTTCCTCAATAAACTGTAAAACTACAGCTCTTGTGTGGTGGTGTTTGGAAGCAAGGTGAAGCCTACTCTGAGTTGCAACAGCGGCAGGTACTGGCTTGTTCAGTAGACTCTCCTCTACAGTTCCACTTTGGCAGGAAGCCTTAGCATTGAATGGTCATGTTGTTAAAGTGCGAAGTATGGAACCCAGTCTGAATCCCTCTACGGAGGTAGAGATCGGGATATAAAAGTTTTAAATAAAATAAATAAATAAACCCTGCTCAGACAGTCGGTCAATGCGACTTAAGCAACGTCCAGTCATTGAATTCTTGATAGCAGAAGGTGTCACCCCAAAGGAGATTAATTAGAGAATGTAAGCTGTTTATGGTGATTGTGTTGCTGTGAATTCTGTGCGTTTAAAGATGTTGAGGTGGGAACATCTGACTTGCGTGACACACAAAGAGTTGGAGCTCCTGTGATAGCAACCACCGAGTTTCACAAGCAAAAGGTTGACAGATCCATTCAGGATGATCGTCGTATCACTCAGAGAGAAATTTCAAGCATAACCGGCATTTCACAAGAAAGTGTAGGTCACATTATGGCTTTGCTTGGATTTGGAAGATCTGTGCACGATGGGTACCCAGGATGCTGACGCCTGAAATGAAAGTACACAGACTTGAAACTTCAGAGACTGGATCTCAACCACCGTATGACATCCTCCATACAGTCCAGATTTAGCACCATCTGACTTCCATCTGTTCCCAATAATGAAAGAAGATCTGCGGGGACATCATGATGCTTCCGATGAAGACATTGAGAGAACTGTGAGATGCTGGTTGCAGAAACAGAGTGTCAACTTCTTCCGCGACTGCTTCAGAAAACTTGTTCATTGTTGGCAGAAATGTATCCAACTGTCTGGTGATTATGTGGGAAAGTGAATAGTGGTCGTTAAAGAGCACATTCTAAGGATTATTTCTGCATTTGATTTATTAAAATATTCCCATCTAATCCCAAGTAATGAAGGTGGAGGCATTACTTTTCATTCAACCCTTGTATATAGAATGGATAGAAAGAGGCAAAGTCAATGTAAATATTGTCCAGAAATTAAGGCAGTTGGGCACATGGTTAAAGATAAAGACACAGGGTAAATATGTGGTCAAAGGGAAGGGTGATGGAGGGTAAGGTTGAGGGGTGTCAACAATGAAAAAAAAAAGATCTGTGCACGATGGATACCCAGGATGAGAGGACTGTGAGATGTAGGTTAGAATCACATTGGCTTTTTGAGCTGCCACATCAAACTGTTGGCTCATGTTCAGCTTATGCTCCACTAAGACTCCTAGATCCCCCTCACATAGTCTGTTTTCAAGCCAGGGCCACTCATCTGATATCTGTGCATTTCATTGTTATGGTCTAAGTGTACTTCACTGCTCAGCTATGGAAACCAACTGTGCTGCCTTGGGCAATCACATCCTCTCAGCCTCAGAGGAAGGCAAGGGCAACCTTCCCCTGAGCAAACCTTGCCAAGAAAACTTCCTTTATAGCGTTGCCTTGAGAAGATGGCCGTAGGAAATGTCTTGACACAGAAACAACCTGCTTGCTGCTCCTTATTTATTTATTTATTTACTACGCTTATATACCGCAATTCTCAGCCCGAGGGCGACTCATTGCGGTGTACAACATGAAAACAAGTGCAATTTACAAAACATAGTGCAAAACAATCTACAAATCATCATTATCAAAAATATATTAGCAAAACATCAACATTACTACAAAATTTCTACTACATTCCGAATCGTCTCATCGTCAACACACAATCCGATATCATTACCGTTTTTCCATTCCTATGGTCAAATAGCCAGTCAATGCACTTTTTGGTCAAATGCTTTCTTAAATAGCCAGGTCTTTAACTTCCTGCAGAAAGTCAACAGGAAGGGGGCTAGCCTGATGTCCACGGGAAGCGTGTTCCACAGCCGAGGAGCCACCACCGAGAAGGCCCTATCTCTCGTCCCCGCCAGCCGTGCCTGTGACGCAGGTGGGATCGAGAGCAGGGCCTCCCCAGAAGATCTCAAAGTCCTCATGGGCTCATAGGCCGAGAGGCGGTCAGTTAGGTATCTTGGGCTGGAACCGTTTAGGGCTTTATAGGCCAATGCCAGCACCTTGAATTGAGCCCGGTAGCAGATCGGCAGCCAGTGGAGCTGGTACAGCAGGGGGGTTGTATGCTCCCTGCGTCCCACTCCTGTTAGTATCATGGCTGCCGCCCGTTGGACCAGCTAAAGCTTCCGGGCTGTCTTCAAAGGCAACCCCACGTAGAGAGCGTTGCAGTAGTCTAAGCGGGATGTAACCAAAGCGTGGACTACCGTGGCCAAGTCAGACTTCCCAAGGTACGGGCGCAGCTGGCCTTGTGATCTTGCATCCCTTTTGCTGGTAGTGTAGGATGTGCAATGGCACGGCTAAGATTTCTCTCTTCTGTCTCCCGCAGGTGCCCTCCTCTTGCCGTCTGCCTGGCCCAGCAGCACCTGCAAGGCATCAGCCACACTCACACCAGCTCCGTGGACTTTGACGTGGTGGTGCTGGCTGACTCCATGGGCTGGGAGGTCCTGCCAGTGAAGCGAGCCCTGCGCCAGCTCCAGTGGGACACCCGGTTGCAGAACGGTAACTAAGCAAACATCCCAGAATCCCTTGGCCAATGGAATTGGGGAAATTTCTGGGGTCTGTAGTCTTAAACAGAAAACATTTCCAAGCTCTGTGTTCAACCTGAACCTTATTAGAAGTGAAGAAATACTTGTATGTAGAGCAATGAGGGACAGAAGGAACCCTGTGATGCAGGCCTGCTATCTTTTTTCACCTCTTTTTCCAAAAATTATGTAGATGACAGTGTTTTGCTTTTGCCTGTATGGAGAGATTTATTTGTACACTAGCCGTCCCCTGCCACGCGTTGATGTGGCCCACTTTGGTGGTCATGAGGGTTCTGTGTAAACCAATTCTATCATTGGTGGGGTTCAGAATGCTCTGTGATTGTAGGTGAATTATAAATCCCAGCAACTACAACTCCCAAATGTCAAGATTCTATTTTCCCCAAACTCCACCAGTGTTCACATTTTGGCATATTGAGTATTCATGTAGAGTTTGGTCCAGATCCATCATTGTTTGAGTCCACAGTGCTCTCTGGATGTAGGTGAACTACAACTCCAAAACCAAAGGACACTGCCCACCAAATCCTTCCAGTATTTTGTTGGTCACGGGAGAACTGTGTGCCAAGTTTGGTTTAATTCCATTGTTGGTGGGGTTCACCACCAACTTTGATTGTAAGTGAACTATAAATCCCAGCAACTACAACTTCCAAATGACAAAATCAATTTTTTGAGTGAAGGACATACATTGGGTTGGTAGGTGTCTTGTGTCCAAACTTGGTGTCAATTCGTCCAGTGGTTTCTGAGTTCTGTTAATCTCACAAACAAACATTACTTTTTTATTTATATAGATAATACAGCACACGTGAATATTAGGTCCAAGAGTCTAAGATATTCGTCTCTGAATATCGGGCTCTTCCCAAGGGCCTAGGATATTAGAGGTGTTTTTGCAGAATGTGTGCAGTTCTGAGAAGTGCTGCCTTCCTTCTGCAGCATGTGGATTGATGTTCTGTTCAAATTAAGGCTTTTCCAGTGCTTTTCGGGGTTTCTTGGCATGCCTCCAAGCACACCAACCACTATTGTTCTCTTTTGCCATATAAGAGATATTATTATTATTATTATTATTATTATTATTATTATTATTATTATTATTAGGACACAACAAGATAAGTCCACAGCAGACACTCTGCTGGCTGTTGTATTGGATCACACGTTGGACCCTTCCCAAGCGTCTAGGACTGTGTGATGTATTTTTGAATGATGCGAGCAGATCCAAGTCAGGTGGCCTTTTGCAGTTGACAGATCGTGATTTTGTCAATGTTTATTGTTTCCAAATGTCGGCTGAGATCTTTTGGCACGGCAACCAGATGACCACTGGGACCAAGTTCGATGCCAGATCGAACTTTGCAGTTCGATTTTGAGGTCCTGATAACGGCTGAGTTTTTCCTGCTTTTTTTTTTCCTCCATGAGACTTTCACCTGGAATGGCGATTATAATCCAAAGTTTTTTCTTTTTCACAATCGTGATATCTGGTGTATTGTGTTCCAAAACTTTGTCAGTCTGGATTCGAAAGTCCCACTGTATTTTTGTGTGTTCATTTTCCACTTATCATCATCATCATCATCATCATCATCACTTTATCTCTCCCAAAGGAGACTCAAAACAACTGTACATGAAAGCATCAGCATACAATTTAAAATATACCAATATGCAAACTTTCCCCTTCTTCCCAAAATTCTTTATTATTGCCCATTTGTTTCAGAAGGGAGCATCATGAGGCTTCTCTCTTAAACACAGACATGAGAGTCAACATTGGAGACTTTTTTAGGTCACTTTCTTTTGTCTGTCTACTCTTTTATACTTGCAATGATAAAAGTAAAAATAATAATAAACCTTACCAGAGCGTCCTGTTTATTTTCCTTCCTGTTTCCTACCATAAGCCCCTATATCTGTGATGGTGAACCTATGACACGCGTTTCAGCACTGACACACATGGCTATTTTTGATGACACACAGATACATGCGGCCACATACAGAGAAATACACCTTATAAGAGCCAATCTAATTCCATCCTTAAATTTATAAATGGCTCTAGAAATTTAACATCTGCACGTTTGAGCATTGTTCACTCCATAACTCAGCATGGATTATACATTTTTCTTATTTAAACTATAAATATTACAAAATAATGGTTTTTTCTCTCGAAGTGACACTTTACCCAAGTTATGCTCAGGTTTTTGGCATTTTGACACACCAAGCTCAAAAGGTTGCCCATATAATACTGACTATGCTGCACTCTGCTATGGATTCCAAATATTCCTACAATACTCTTTGTCAGAGAAGGTTCAGAAAGGTGATATAGTAACCACATCCATTCACAATAGTTCTCCTTGCACTGGAGCCGCTCTGGTGAAATGGGTTAAAACCTTGTGCTGTCTGGATTGCTGACCTAAAGGTTCAAATCCGTGAGACAAGATGAGCTCCTGTTTGTCAGCCCCAGCTTGCCATACGGAGAAACGAGAGAAGACTCCCATAGGATAGTAAAACATCTGGGCAATGTCCTTGCAGACAGCCAATTCTCTCAAAACACAAGCAACTTGCAGTTTCTCAAGTCGCTTCTGACACGATTTTTTAAAAAGTTCTCCTTGCAATCTGCTGCACTTTTAGAGATTTACTTGACTGCTGAGTATGCATGCCCAGTGTGGAACACATCTCACCACACTAAAACAGTGGATGTGGCTCTTAATGAGACATGCCGCATTATCACAGGGTGTCTGCGCCCTACACCACTGGAGAAATTACACTGCTTAGCCGGTATTGCACCACCTGACATCCGCCGGGAAGTAGCAGCCAATAGTGAAAGGACCAAGGCAGAGACATCTCCAGCTCATCCCTGTTTGGGTATCAGCCAGCACGTCAACGACTTAAAAGAAATAGTTTTCTAAGATCTACAGAGACACTCGCTGGAACACCTCAGCAAGCGAGAGTCCAAAAGTGGCAGGCTCAAACCCAGCACCTCAATCCATGGGTGATACCAGATGAGAGACTCCCCCCTGGGCACACAGAAGACTTGGAAGGAGCTGAACAGACTGCGCTCTGGCACCACGAGATGCAGAGCCAATCTTAAGAAACGGGGCTACAAAGTGGAATCCACGACATGCGAGTGTGGAGAAGAGCAAACCACTGACCACCTGCTGCAATGCAACCTGAGCCCTGCCACATGCACAATGGAGGACCTTCTTGCGGCAACACCAGAAGCACTCCAAGTGGCCAGATACTGGTCAAAGGACATTTAATCAACTACTAAGTTTGCAAAATCTCTGTGTGTTTTTTTTTCCTTTTTCTTTTTTAATCTGTGTGTTTGTTTTGTTCTGTTAGAAATATTATACAACTAGCTGTACCCTGCCACGCGTTGCTGTGGCCCATTTCAGTCTTCCCTTTCTGCTTCCCTTCCTTCCTTTTTTGTTTCCTTCCTTCCTTTATGTCTTCTGTCTTTCCTTCTTTCCTTCCTTCCTTCTCCTCCTCCTTCTCCTTCCTTCCTTCCTTCCTTCCTTCCTTCCTTCCTTCCTTCCTTCTCGTCCTCCCTCCCTCCCTCATTCCTCCCTTCGTTCTGTTTCTGCCTCCCCCTTCCCCTCCGTGATGTTGTGGCCGACTCTGGTGGTGGACCCACAACCGGTATGACAGCGGGCCAGACCCCTGTCTGGAAGGAACGGTAGTAGGGAACTCTCTCTGTCTTGGATCCCCCTGGCGAGGAGGAGGCGGCAGAGGCGGAGCCGGGCCCCTCCTGGCCCGCCGTCGGCCTTTCCCTCGTTCCCTCTTTCCTTCCTTCCTTCCTTCCTTCCTTCCCTCCCTCCCTCCCTCTGTCTTTCTCTCCTTCCTTCTGTTACCTTTAATTTTATTTCCTTTTCTCCTTCCTTCCCCCTTTGGCTCCTTCATTCCTTCTCTTTCCCTTCTTCTCTCATTTCTTCTGGACTGTCCCTTTCAACGGTAATGCCGCGGGGGAGGGGGGGGTGAGGGGCGGCAAGTGCGCGCGTGGCGGGGAGTTTGCGCCGCGCGCGCGTGTGTGCCGCGGGGGGGGGGGGGGCAGGGGGGCGCGTGGCGGGGAGTTTCCGACGCGCGCGCGTGTGCCGCGGGGGGGGGGGGGCGGCGGGGGGTGTGCGCGTGGCGGGGAGTTTGCGCCGCGCGCGCGTGTGTGCCGCGGGGGGGGGCAGGGGCGGCGGGTGCGCGCGTGGCGGGGAGTTTCCGACGCGCGCGCGTGTGCCGCGGGGGGGGGTGAGGGGCGGCGGGTGTGCGCGTGGCGGGGAGTTTCCGCCGCGCGCGCGTGTGTGCCGCCGGGGGGGGGCGAGGGGCGGCGGGTGCGCGCGTGCCGGGGAGTTTGCGCCAGTGCGCATGTTCAGTTGTTTTGTGGTGTTTTCGTCGTTGCAGTTGTGTTTTCTTTACTTTGGAGTAGATTAGTTTGTAGCGAGTGGGTTGTCCTAGGGGCATGGGAATTTTGGTTCAGTTTCGTTGGGGGGTTGTGGAGTTATGCGACGCCGTACGACGCCCCCTACAGATTTATATATATAGATTGTATGGTTGCTGATGACACGATAAATAAACTTGACTAATTCTTGGGCAATGATATAAGATGGATGGAGGATGTAGAGGTCTCTCTTATTTATTTATCTCTCTCCCTTTTTGGCTCAGGGTCCAGTGTGTCTAGGAAGAGTGGGGTCCTTGTGGAGTTCAGCGAGCTCTCCTTCTATCTGCGCTCCTACGGCGACCTTACCGATGAGGAACTGGACTCGGTCTGCGAATTCCTGCACCGGCGGGTGATGGACCGAGAAAAGGCGGCCCTTGGCCAGCTCCGAGTGTGCTTCCAGGCCTTCCAGAGGTGGGCAGCTGACAATAGAGACCCTAATTTAAGTGGTTGTAGGACAGTGGTTCTCAACCTGGGGGTCGGGACCCCTGGAGGGGTCGCAAGGGGGTGTCAGAGGGGTCGCCAAAGACCATCACAAACAGTATTTTCTGTTGGTCAAGGGAGTTCTGTGTGGAAAGTGTGGCCTAATTCTATCGTTGGTGGGCTTTTAAATGCTCTTTGGTTGTAGATGAACTATAAATCCCAGCAACTACAACTCCCAAATGTCAAGGTCAATGTTCCTTGAACTTCACCAGTGTTCACATTTGGGCATATTGAGTATTCGTGCCAAGTTTGATCCAGATCCATCATTGTTTTAATCCACAGTGCTCTCTGGGTGTAGGCAAACTACAACTCCCAAACTCAAGTTCAATGCCCACCAAACCCTTCCAGTATTTTCAGTTGGTCATGGGAGTTCTGTGTGCCAAGTTTGGTCTAAATCCATCATTGGTAGAGTTCAGAATGTTCTTTGAATGTAGGTGAACTATAAATCCCAGCAACTACAACTCCCAAATGACAAAATCAATCCTCCCATAACACTCCAATAAGAATACATCCCGCATATCAGATATTTACATAATGATTCATAACAGTAGCAAAATTACAATTATGAAGTAGCGACGAAAATAATTTAATGTCTGGGGGTCACCACAACGTTGTATTAAGGGGTCGCGGCATTAGGAACATTGAGAACCACTGTTGTAGGACGTTACAGGGCAGGTTAACATCTTGCAAAGAACGGTGGGGTTTGTGTGACATGTTTCTCAAGATCACTTTCGACTCCTATGATTGTGTGATGGATAAATATGATATGTGATTTGAATGAAATGGTGTGAAAGGTGTATGGTTGGTAATTGTATAGCCTAACGATGCCACCCTAAGAAATGAGGTCTGGAAAACTACAAAAAATGGAGAACTGCTGACATTGGTGACCAGAGACTAATTGTTGAACTCTTGGTGGGAAACAACATGTTTACATTACCAGAAACAACGACTCTTTTAAAGTTAAGAAGGAAACAAACCGTGCTCCTTAAGAAGGAAAATCAATTATCACTTAAGGAAGGAAAGTCAACATAAGTCCAGGAACTGATGGAAGTCAGCACATTTTGGCTGGAAAAACACGTCATTTATTTATTTATTTATTTATTTATTTATTTATTTATTTATTATTTACGGTATTGATATTCCGCCGTTCTCACCCCGCAGGGGACTCAGGGAGGATTACAATGTACACATATATGGCAAACATTCAATGCCAAAGACACACAACATATATAGACAGACAGTCAGAGGCTATTTAACTTTTCTGGCCGCTTTCATCGTCCATCTGCGACACTGATGAAGTACTTCCGCATTCCCCGCATGCTTTGCTGGAGTCTTTTTTATGGCCTCGTAAATTAGTTAAATTAGCCTCCCCACACATAGGGGGCACCTAATTTTCCTACTTGACAGATGCAACTGTCTTTCGGGTTGCGAAGGTCGACAACAAGCTACACAAAGACAACAAAGACAACTGGAACAACAACAAGAAATATTGCTATATAAGGGATACTTTACAATCCAAAAATTGTGGCAGACTGGAGGAGTCTGGCCCACCCGCGACTCTTCTACAAGGGATGGAGGAAGATGGTGTTTTCGAAGAATGGCAGATTTGCTAGAAACACAGTTTGGCCTACTTTGGGGTCTCTTTTCAGAAGAAGAAGAGATGGCAATGTATGCATTATGGATGCTTATGTGTGTGTGAATGCTGAGGAAAATGCAAAATCCCCTTGTTTGTGTACCTAATGTAGCTCTAATCCAGTGGTTCTCAACCTGGGGTCCCCAGATGTTTTTGGCCTACAACTCCCAGAAATCCCAGCTATTTTACCAGCTATTAGGATTTCTGGGAGTTGTAGGCCAAAAACATCTGGGGACCCCAGGTTGAGAACCACTGTCAGTCTATCTACTTTCTTGCTCTGTGGGTTAAAGCACTGAGTTGCCGAGCTCGTTGACCGAAAGGTCGCGGGTTCGATTCCGGGGAGCGGCGCGAGCTTCCACTGTCAGCCCTAGCTTCTGCCAACCTAGCAGTTCGAAAACATGCAAATGTGAGTAGATCAATAGGTACTGCTCCAGCGGGAAGGCAATGGCGCTCCATGCAGTCATGCCGGCCACATGACCTTGGAGGTGTCTATGGACAATGCCGGCTCTTCGGCTTAGAAATGGAGATGAGCACCAACCCCAGAGTCAGACATGACTGGACTTAATGTCAAGGGACAACCTTTATTTATTTATTTAGACCATTTCTACCCCGCCCTTCTCACCCCCGAGGGGGACTCAGGGCGACTAACACAGGCAACAATTCAGTGCCAACAGTATCAAAACAACAATATAAAACAGCAATACAAAATCCATTACATAAGAATTAAACAGTGATATCAATTAAAATTACGTAACCACATAGAACAGATCACAGAATCACAGGTCATAAAGCCATTTCCAATTTTCAAACAATCCTATGGTCCGAGTTCAGAGACTAAAGTGCTGTTGTGCCCACTAGCCAAAGGCCTGGCTCCAAAACCACGTCTTTAGTTTTTTCCTAAAAGTAAGGAGGACGCCGATCTAATCTCGCTGGGGAGCGAATTCCATAAGCGGGGGGTCACCACCGAGAAGGCCCTGTCCCTCGTCCCCACCAGACGCGTTCGAGACGCTGGTGGGACCGAGAGCAGGGCCTCCCCAGTAGATTTTAAATTACGAGGTGGAACGTAGAGAGAGATACGTTCGGATAAGTAAGCTGGACCGGAGCCGTATAGGGTTTTACCTTTACTTAATGTTTAAAAAGTACCAGTGATAATTCTGAGGGTGTTTTACCTTTTGGAAAAGTGGAGACCCTCAGGAGGATTGAGCAAAATATTCAATTGCAGTGTGGAACGACTAAGAAGAACTCATCTCACAGTGGCTAAATGGGGAGGGAAACTTTTTTGCCCATTGGGCAGTGACAAGCACCGGGATTGTGGCACAGCTAGCTGAGTGTCAGCTGCATTAAGATCACTCTGACCAAAAGGTCATGAGTTCGAAGCCAGCCCGGGTTGGAGTGGGTTTCCAACCAATTATGTGTAGCCTGTTGTCGACCTTTGCAACCCGAAAGACAGTTGCATCTGTCAAGTAGGAAAATAAGGTACCACCTTAAAGTGTGGGGAGGCTAAATTAACTGATTTTTGAGGCCATAAAGAAGACTCCAGCAAAGCATTCCAGCGGGGAAGCATGCGAGGAATGCGGAAGTGCTTCATCAGCGTTGCAGATGGACGAGGAAAGCGACAGCTCCCCTGGTGGCCAGAAAAAGTTAAATAGCCTCTGTGTATGTCTGCATATGTTTGTATGTCAAAAATTGGCATTGAATGTTTGCCATATATGTGTACACTGTAATCCGCCCTGAGTCCCCTGCGGGGTGAGGAGAAGGGCGGAATAGAAAAGCTGCAAATAAATAAATAAATAAATAAATAAATAAATAAATAAATAAATAAATAAGGGATCGCTCGCTCTTCCTCTGTTTTGCAGCCCTTTGTCCTTCATCCCTCTTTCTCATTCACTCTCTCTCGTGTCCCCTTTTGCACTGAGCAGAGTGGCCTTCCGGAGCTGTGCCTCGTGCTGCGATGGCGGAGGGGAGGAGAGGAGCAACCAGCTTAAGACCCTGTTGATGGATTATTTTGAGAAGGATGTGATGCTAGAAGAAGCGGATTATGAACGAAGAGATGAAGGAATGGATGCTAAAGACCTCGAGGACATAAAAGTGAGTAAGAACATGGTTTGCTATTCTTACAGATTTGAAAGGAGGTAAAAAAGAACAAAACTAGAAAAATGCAGGGGAGGCTGTGGTGCATTTAAAGGCGAACTGTTTTCTAATGTGACACCATTAAGCTGTATCTCTGGCATTGGAGAGGGGTTGGCTGGTGACTGCTGGAAGAGCACTTTGGTTTTCTCAATGTTCAATGACAGGCCGAGCTTCTCGTATGCTTCTGCGAAGGTGTTTAGAGTGGCTTGTAGATCTTCTTCTGAATGCGCACAGACGACGTTGTCATTAGCATAGTGGAGTTCTATAGCAGATGTTGTGACCTTGGTTTTGGCTTTCAGTCTGCTGAGGTTAAACACCTTGCCATCTGTCCGATAGATGATTTCCACTCCGGTGGGAAGCTTCCCATCAACAAGGTGGAGTATCATAGCAATGAAGATGGAGAATAAAGTTGGGGCAATAATAATAATAATAATAATAATAATAATAATAATAATAATAATAATAATGACACTTTATTTGTACTCCACTACCATCTCCCTAAGGGACTTCGGTGCAGCTTACATGAGGCCGAGCCCAAACACAACAATACAGGCAATAATCACAACAATACAAGCAATTCAAATAGAACATAAATGATAAACATATAACACATAGAGGACCTACAAGGCCCTATATGGCTCTGGTCCAGGTTATCCGAAGGACCATATCTCTTTCTATGAACCTGGGAGACATCTATAATTAACTGCCTTGCTACACTAGGCATTGCCTGTCTCACTTTTTGCGGCCTTTGCCTCTGAATTGCAGTTTCGGGACTGGGAAGACCAAATCCGAGCTGACATCCGCCACTTCCTTTCCATACGGCAAGAAGAGAAGTTCTCCGGCAGAGCCGTGGCCAGGATCTTGCATGGCATAGGTAAGGCTGCACCGCTCTGGGGATTCTGATAATGCACATCAGCACAAATGTAGCAGCTTAGATACCAGGCATGGGCCAACTTTGGCCATCCAGGTGTTTTGGACTTCCACAATTCCTAACACCTGGAGGGCCGAAGTTGGCCCAGGCCTGGTATACAGGTACAGAGAAACATTTTCCCTTGGCAACTTCAGCCAAAGTAGCAATTACTGTCAGGAACCTAACAGAGATAATATGGTACCAGGATCTTAGATCCTGCCATGCATTTCAGCCATGTTTTGTATACTGGATGATGGGGTATGCTGCATTCTCTTATGAGAATGGTAAATATTTATGGCCAGGTGTGGAGGAAGAAAACTAACTTCTGGAAGCTGCCACAGTTGTTCTGGTGAGACAAAGCGTATAAAAGGGGAGGAGGGAATAAACCTGGGTGTTTTTATTTGTTAACCAACGGGACAAAACCCTGCTCAGATGATTTAATAGCTTGTTCTTAATTAAACTGCATAACTGCAGAAGCTTCCAATCTTAACAACACCTTTAGGCTCTGATTAATTGTATTTTCTAAATCAACATTTCTCAACCTGGGGGTTGGGACCCCTGAGGGGGTCATGCTGTGGTGTTGGAGGGGTCGCCAAAGGCTTAACTCTTTGTCTCTTGTGATTACATTCTCATGCCTTGGATCAATGTTTCCCTGTTTCTTTGGATTTTATTAGAGAAGTCTGGACTTTGTTTTTGAACTTTGCTGAACCATACCTTGGACTAATTTGTTCCTGCTTATCTTCTTACCTAATTGGATTTACCTATTCCCTTACAGTGCTTTTTTTTTTTTTTACTTTGCTGCTTTTACTTATCTTCAATAAAAAAGGATTGTTTTCACATTATTTTCTGTTGGTCATGGGAGTTCTGTGTGCCAAGTTTGATTCAACTCCATCGTTGGTGGAGTTCAAAATGCTCTTTGATTGTAGGTGACCTATAAATCCCAGCAACTACAACTCCCAAATGTCAAGGTCTGTTTTCTCCAAACTCCACCAGTGTTTACATTTAAGCATATTGAATATTTGTGTCAAGCTTGGTACAGATTCATCAGTGTTTGAGTCTACAGTGAGTCTCTGGATGTACGTGAACTACAACTCCCAAACTCAAGGTCAATGCCCATCAAACCCTTCCATTATTTTCTGTTGGTCATGGGAGTTCTGTGTGCCAAGTTTGGTTCAATTCCATCGTTGGTGGAGTTCAGAATGCTCTTTGATTGTAGGTGACCTATAAATCCCAGCAACTACAACTCCCAAATGTCAAAGTCTGTTTTCTCCAAACTCCACCAGTGTTTACATTTGGGCATATTGAGTATTTGTGTCAAGTTTGGTACAGATTTATCAGTGTTTGAGTCCACAGTGCTCTGGATGTAGGTGAACTACAACTCCCAAGCTCAAGGTCAATGCCCATCAAACTCTTTCAGTATTTTCTGTTGGTGGGAGATCTATGTGATTATTATTATTATTCATCATTGGTGGAGTTCAGAATGCTCTTTGATTGTAGGTGAACTATAAATCCCAGCAACTACAAATCTTAAATGACAAAATCAATCCCTCCAACCCCACCAATATTCAAAATTGAGTGTATTGGGTATTTGTGCCAAATTTGGTCCAGTGAATGAAAATACATCCTGCATATCGGATATTTAAATTGCAATTCATAACAGTAACAAAATTACAGTTATGAAGTATCAACGAAAATAATGTTATGGTTGGGGGTCATTAGGAAGGTTGAGAACCTCTGTTCTAAACAAAGCTTCTGAACTTTTGTTTTCTGAACCGGACTTGTAGGATTTAAGATTGTTGACCGAGATTTCTCTCTCTGGACAGGGAGTCCCTGCTTTCCTGCTCAGATTTATGGCCGAGACCGGCGCTTCTGGAGGAAGTACATCCATTTCGACTTCAACAGGATCATGCACTTGGCCACAGAGGAGATCATCCACTGGAAGTGAGAGAACATCGCGGAAGAGAGTGTCGCAAAAAGCTTACACTGGAAACTTGTTGTTGTTCATGCGTTTAGTTGTTTTTGACTCTTTGTGACCTCCTGGACGAGCCCACGCCAGAGCTCCCTGTCGGCCGTCACCACCCCCAGCTCCAGTCCCTTCAAGGATGCCATCCATCCATCTTGCCCTTGTTTGGCCCCTCTTCCTTTTTCCTTCCACTTTCCCCAGCATCATTGTCTGGTTGCATGGCAGTATTTTCTCAGGAAAAGGTTTTACTGTCTAAAAGAACGAGCTACAGGCAGGTGAACGTCGTACTCTTTTCACAAGGAAGGAGAACAATGGTTTGCTTTTATCTCAGGGCTGTTCTTTTTATATTGTATATAAAACTTCATTTTTGATTTATTTTAATTAATTGTCCTGACCAAAGACTTTTTTAAAACTGGAAAACGGACATTACGGACCATTGTTCAAGGACTTTCCCTCTGCTAAGGGGAATCTTATGGACTTGTATTTATCCCCCTTGAGTTCTGCATATTTTTCTCACCACGAAGACTGTTCCTTGCACTTGAGGTTAGTTGATTTCTGTGATTATGGAGACTTGGTCTGGACAACTCTTTTCTCTAAGCGCAAGTTTAAACAGAACTGATAGCATCCATTTTGATACTGCTATCAGCAACTTTTAAATATCTGCTTGTTGTCTCAAAGATGTCAAGCAGGGGCATTTAAGCCTGCATCTCCAAGGCCCCTTCAACACTGGCGTATAAAATCCAGATTTTCTGCTTTTTTAAAATAATGTTTTTAATTGTAATGGTATCCATCTAATTCATCAAAATAAACCTACTTTATATGCATCCATAAACCATTACATTTTTGTCCCCCTTTTTTCCCTCCCCCCGACTTTACAACAAAGCATTTATAAGAGCAGCCAATCCAGGATTCTGTCCATTTTCTGCTTTGAACTGGATTATCTGGCAATGTAGACTTTGAACTGGATTATCTGGCAATGTAGACACATATAATCCAGTTCAAACCAGATGATGTTGATATATGCTGTGATAATCTGGATCATATGGCAGTGTAGAAGGGGCCCATGTGCACCAAGGGATATCTGCATTACGTTCATACCATTTGTCCACAAATGATTATCAAGCAATCACACCTAGACTGATACTTGAAATGATCCCAAATATCCTTCCTGTAATTAATAAATACACGTGGTTTACAATGTAATGATAGTTGCCTTTCTTGATTATTTGGACAGAAAACGGGGTGGATAAATTATGCATTTGTATGTAAGGAGAAATGTACTAAAGGGAGTGAACAGTCATTTGTTAATAGATAGATCTGTTTATTGATTAGTCCACTGATCATATCAACAATAAAAAACAAAAATACACAGACAAATAGAGACTAATCACTACACTAAAACCTGTATTCGTTAACTAAAAAAAATTAAAATACAATAAAACTCGATTATACATTTGGTAAAATGAGAGTTTAGGGAAGTTTATCACCATGACAAGTCATTGGTTTAGGACTGACTGCATTCCTTCATCTCTCCTTGAAAATTCTATCCCAGTTATATACTACCTTGTTCATGTCCAGCATTATTTTTAATTTTAATTTATTACATTTGACCCGGCCATTGGTTTTAAATACTGTGTGTTACTGTTGATTTATTGTTTATTTTTTGTTATGTGACTTATACTAATTGTTTTGCTTTGATTGTTTTGTTATTGCTTTGTTTATTGATGTGCTGTGGGCTTGGCCTCATGGAAGCCGCACCGAGTCCCTTGGGGAGAGGGTAGTGGGGTACAAATAAAGTTATTATTATTATTATTATTATTATTATTATTATTATTATTGGTTGTTATTCACCATCATACTGACTTTCAGCAGCCAAGGAATGAGACTTTCAAGAGCCTTCGCTGTGACCAATCCTGCTCTGGTCTTGCAAACCCTTGGCTATCACAATTGGGTTTATTTGCCTGTAAAGTACCCTCCTTCTTTTCCTGCAACTTTTCACTTTACCTAGTGCAAAGGAGTCCACTACAAGCCGGCACCAAATTGTAAAAGGCTCTTGTATTAATACCACTGGATGCCACCCTATTTGTGTTGTGAGGTAATTATGATAGATTGGGTACACCGAGCGTAGAATAAATGGAGGTGAGGCAGTTTTAAAAACCAAAGAGAACAAGTTTATTTGAAACAAAGCGTATGGTTGCAGTTTGATGTTAAGCTTGGCAAATACTTAGAGAACGATACATGTAACTTGGTTGTGATACAGTTCAGACTTTCGATGTTACAACTTATGAAACTCTTGCTGTGGTGAAGCACTTCAATAAACAATGTTTTACTGTGGTGAATAGTCTCCCCGTTTGATTCTTCTATGATCAAACACCAGATCTCTAGTTCTTTTAACTAGGGATCTAAACAAGCCTTTGTTAGTTCTTTCTAACTAAAGAAACTAATAAGGTTTTCCTCTTCAGCTTTCCTAACTGAAGAAATCTCTGACTATTCACGAACACTGTTTCTCTCCTAACTCTTCCCTTCTCAGAGTCTCCAACCTGACTCTTCCCTTCTCAGAGTCTCCAACCTGACTCTTCCCTTCTCAGAGTCTCCAACCTGACTGACTCTTAACTGTCGCTTTTCAAAAACACTCTTCTCTAAGCTCCTCCCACTCCTCTGCAGCATCGTTTCCATGGTAACACACTCCTCACAGCTAGGCCGCTCCAGCCTTAGGGCAACCAATGCAGACATAAATACAGTTATAATCATATTATTATAATCACTTCTGTACACCTAGCATTACTGTGTTTTCCAATGTTGTCTTTATCTTTGGTGTTGTGCTCTCATATAATCTGGTGTTATCAATATTTTGTCGAGGCTGCTGTAAACATTTCCTTTCAACAGATGGTCCAGCCCACATAACTAACACTGGGTCGAATCCATTTACATAACCCAACAAAAACCAACAAACATAAATTCTCTTAGTGTCTTGGTTTTTAGGCCTGTTCCTGGGGTTCTTTAGAGCATTGATTCAGAGAAATACATTGGATAGACTGCATCAGCTGTGGTATCTTAGGTTAAAGTTACCATGGTTTTCTATGGGTGAGCAGATAGGAAGTGGTCTATGGCATAGGTTTGTGTTTGGGCAATGCTGCTGCGTTTGGTGGTCCCTATATAGACTATCTACAGACCCACCAAGAAAATCCAACAAATGCTACATTCAGCAAAGGAGAAGAGGGATCCTCTCACTTCTGCAGGAGTCTACCGTGTACCATGCAGCTGTGGACAAGAGGTCTCCAGAGGGATCACCAAACGCAGCAGCATTGCCCAAACATGAATCAAGGAACAGGAAAGGCACTGCAGACTACTTCAACCAGAGAAGTCAGCCATAGCAGAGCACCTGAGGAACCAACCTAGACACAGCATTTTATTTGAGAACACAGAAATGCTGGACCACTCTCACAACCACCATGTCCAACTACACAGAGAAGCCATTGAAATCCACAAGCATGTGGACAATTTCAACAGAAAGGAGGAAACCATGAAAATGAACAAAATCTGGCTACCAGTATTTAAAAACTCAAAAATTACAACAGCAAAACAACAGAGAGGAAACAATCTGGGACATCGAATCACCTCTCAACAAGTTTGCTCCAGGCAGTCAGCCCATTGTATGCTAATCAAGGTGGTCAGTTGAAACATTCACACCGAGCTCCAGCAGACAAGAGTCCTTTGTCCCACCCTGGTCATTCCACAGATATATAAACCCCTTTTCCTCATTCCAACAGACCTCACTACCTCGGAGGATGCTTGTCATAGATGCAGGCAAAACATCAGGAGAGAATGCCTCTAGACCATGGCCATACAGCCCGAAGAAACCTACAACAACCCAGTGATTCCGGCCATGAAAGCCTTCGACAACTCTCTGCTTCATTCGGAAGAATGCTGCACTCGCAGAGCTCAGGCGGTGTTGTATTTCAGTGTCAATGTTGACTTTTGTGGAGAGGTGGCTGCCAAGGGAGCAGAAATGGTCAACATTTTCTAATGTTACACCATTAAGCTGTATTCCTGGCCTTGGAGAGGGGTTGGCTTGTGACTTCTGGAAGAGCAATTGGTTTTCTCGATGTTCAGTGGCAGGCCGAGCTTCTCATATCCTTCTGCGGAGGTGTTTAGAGTGGCTTGTAGATCTTCTGAATGCGCACAGACGACGTTGTCATCAGCATACTGGAGTTCTATAACAGATGTTGTTGTAACCTTGGTTTTGGCTTTCAGTCAGCTGAGGTTGAACCAGTTATGTAGTTCTTTGACTAAAGTATGTTTATCACCTTGAATGGCTGACAATACAACCTTCTGGCCGGCACTTAAGTTCGATAGAATGAGAGTTCTTCCTCTCTGAAACACACAGAGCGTCACTTCCGGTCTCAACGGGGAGGCTTGGTTCCGCCACCGGAAGTGTAGGCCGAGAGGACTTCCTGTTCCGGGCACTTCCGTTTCCTTTTCTGTGCTGTTGAGGACGCGCAGGAGAAGCGGGCATGCCTCGCCGCCCTCTAGCGGCTGCCTCGCGGAAAGGCCAAGGCGTGAGTCCAGGCTGCCATGGCAACGGAGGGGAGAGGACTCCAACTCCCAGGGTTCTTAGCGCGGAAGGACCCACACACGCCAAGTGGAGGGGCCGGGTGGGGGAATTCTGGGAAGCGTAGTTCTCTTTTCCTCTAAAGAAGGGCCTCACCACTTGCAGGCCTATATGGACATTCAGAAGGATTGTCAGAGATTTGGAAGATCTTAGGGCCCTTCCACACAGCCCTATATCCCAGAATATCTGCTTTGAATCGGGTTATCTGAGTCCACACTGCTATATATTCCAGTTCAAAGCAGATAATGTGGGATTTTACTCAGCTGTGTGAAAGAGGCCTTATTTAGAGGGGAAGAGTAGCTCCCATCTCTCTCTGAACCAAAATGGGGAGTATGGGAGTTGTAGTCCTCTGTGTGTGTGTGTGTGTGTGTGTATGCATTTACACATACACACACATATACTATAGATGCTATTATTATTATTTACAGGGCGACTCAAAGCGGTATTTGGATATATACACACATATATACTATACTATACACATATATATACTATAGATATGGATATATACAGATATATATTGTGTATTATGTCTTTTTTCTATGGATAAATATGTGTTTGTGTACATACACTCCATATATAATCCACACACACATATATACATATACACACATTTATATGTATTTATCTCCTATGTATGCATATATACCATAGATAGATAGATATACACATACATACATACACTGTATGGATGTATACATACACACATATATATATCATTTTATGGATTAATATGTGTTTGTGTACATACACAATCCATATATAATTTACACACACGTATACATATGCACGTATATATGTATATATCTCTATGTATATGTGTGGTGAATGAATTAGAACCAGACATCCTGAGGAGTGAGGTTGAATGGGCCTTAAGAAGCATTGCTAACAACAAGGCAGCAGGAGATGACGGGATCCCAGCTGAACTGTTTAAAATCTTAAAAGATGATGCTGTCAAGGTGATGCATGCCATTTGCCAGCAAATATGGAAAACACAAGAATGGCTATCAGACTGGAAAAAATCAACTTATATCCCCATACCAAAAAAGGGAAATGCGAAAGACTGCTCAAACTTCCGTACAGTGGCCCTTATTTCTCATGCCAGTAAGGTAATGCTCAAGATCCTGCAAGGAAGACTCCAGCAATACATGGAGCGAGAGTTGCCAGATGTTCAAGCTGGGTTTAGAAAAGGCAGAGGAACGAGAGACCAAATTGCCAATATCCGCTGGATAATGGAGAAAGGCAGGGAGTTTCAGAAAAACATCTACTTCTGCTTCATTGACTATTCTAAAGCCTTTGACTGTGTGGATCATAATAAATTGTGGCAAGTTCTTAGTGGGATGGGCATACCAAGCCACCTTGTCTCTCTCCTGAGGAATCTGTACAAGGACCAAGTAGCAACAGTCAGAACTGACCACAGAACAACAGATTGGTTCAAGATTGGGAAAGGCGTACGGCAAGGCTGCATACTCTCACCCAACCTTTTTAACTTGTATGCAGAACACATCATGCGATGTGCGGGGCTGGATGAATGCAAAGCTGGGGTGAAAATTGCTGGAAGAAACATTAACAACCTCAGATATGCAGATGACACCACTTTGATGGCCGAAAGCGAGGAGGAGCTGAGGAGCCTCTAATCAAGGTGAAAGAAGAAAGCGCAAAAGCTGGGTTGCAGCTAAACATAAAAAAACCAAGATTATGGCAACAAGAATGATTGACAACTGGAAAATAGAGGGAGAAACCGTGGAGGCCGTGACAGACTTTGTATTTCTAGGTGCAAAGATTACTGCAGATGCAGACTGTGGCCAGGAAATCAGAAGACGCTTCCTTCTTGGGAGGAGAGCAATGTCCAGTCTCGATAAAATAGTGAAGAGTAGAGACATCAGACTGGCAACAAAGATCCGCCTAGTCAAAGCCATGGTATTCCCTGTAGTAACCTACGGATGTGAGCGCTGGACCTTAGGGAAGGCTGAGCGAAGGAAGATCGATGCTTTTGAGCTGTGGTGTTGGAGGAAAGTGAGAGTGCCTTGGACTGCGAGAAGATCCAACCAGTCCATCCTCCAGGAAATAAAGCCCGACTGCTCACTGGAGGGAAAGATACTAGAGACAAAGTTGAAGTACTTTGACCACATCATGAGGAGACAGCAAAGCCTAGAGAAGACAATTATGCTGGGGAAAGTGGAAGGCAAAAGAAGAGGGGCCGACCAAGGGCAAGATGGATGGATGGCATCCTTGAAGTGACTGGACTGACCTTGAGGGAGCTGGGGGTGGTAACGGACGACAGGGAGCTCTGGCGTGGGCTGGTCCATGAGGTCACGAAGAGTCGGAGACGACTGAACGAATGAACAACAACATATTTAACTATATATCCCATTTGTATGGATAAATGTGTTTGTGTACATACACAATCCATATATAATTTACACACATATATACACGTGTGTGTATATGTATGTGTATATACATAAATATATACACACTGTATGTATGTGTGTATATATATATACAATTTATATGGATTTTTTGTCGTGTCAAGAGTGACTTGAGAAACTGCAATATATTTGTGTGTGTACACAAACATGTATTTATCTAATTATATAGATAAATACATATTTGTGTGTACACACACAATCCATATATAATTTACATTTCTCTCTATATTATATATATGCACACATACACATATGTATATATCTGTGTATATGTGTGTGTGTGTGTGTGTGTCACTGTTCAAACCCACTTAAGTAAAAACTTATCAAAGACGCTGGGTAGCTATGATCCTTAAGGGAGCCAGGTTTGTGAAATAAACACTCCTATTCTCCCTCAGGACATCCACTCAGGATGGGAGGCTGAGGAATAACTGCATCTGTTCAAAAAGCAAATACATCCAGGTAATTAAAAATATTATCTGATTTTATAATAATTTGTGTGTGTGTAGGGGGGTAATTGTCTCAAGGCCACATGGAAAGGGGATCTAAGAATCTTAGACCCCATCTACATTGCCATATAATCTAGATGCAGGGAAGGTGTGGGGGGGGGGGGTGTCCGAATTTGAACCACTTACCTTTTTTTTTGGAAATATTCTATAATGTTTGGATGTCTCCCAAGGTTAATTTAATTTTCACAACCATTAAGCAACTTTGGTAAAGCCTAAACAGTTTTACAATCTCATGCTTTCCCTCCCCGGTGATGCAAGGGAGGGATGAGGTGGGCATGGCTAAGCACAGCCATTGTTGTAGTTTGTGAAGGCCAGGCCCCCAATGGTAGAGATTGCAAAAGGCCCTGCTGTTAAACTACATTTCCCACGCTATTCTGCTGCTCATTAGCCAAAATGGCTGAAGGACCCAAAATAGCTGTCTGTAACAGTCTTCGTCTAAATATAAAGTAAACCAATTGAATCTACAAAGGAGTCTAAAGAAGGCAGCAATGCAATAAGCAGCTTTTGCAAAGCCAAGCGAACATGAACTGCTTAAAAACCAATCATTTCACTTTGGTTGATTGCCATGAACAAGGGATAGCCAGCCACAGCCAGCCAGCCCTTTACGTCAGTAAATAATGATAAAATAAAATGATTGATTGCATCTGAAAATAAGAATAAACGGATGGATGTGCTTTGAGGGCGCCCTCCAACTCAGTAGAGGAAGGAAGTGGATGTCTGGAGAGTTTGGATGGCGCCTTTCTGGACAGTCCAGATGTCCCTTGATGGGGTCTGTGCTATGATTTCTGTTCTCCGCCAATTTAACACAGTTTGTGCCACACAAACTGTCGCGCTTTATCTCACAATTTAGCAGCAGATCAGTTGCACAGCTTCAGCACTTTCCAGTAGCTTCTTCCTGCACAGTATTTTCAGTCAACTGCTCCCACAAACTGCAGTCATTCTGGAACTCTTTACAGACACTTGAGCACATGCCCGGCTATTGTCAGTTTTACCATTGTTTTCTCGCCCAGTCTAGATGACATTACAAACTTACCACAGCATACAGTTATATCTTGTCTTAGCAGACAGGTTCTTTTAATCATTTACATATAGCCTTTCATGAACAACATCATAGCATAAGGAGAGAGAAATACACACTGTACATGACTTCCTTGTATACAATTCTATACAATTACACATAGCAATCTCTGATTGGTTCCCAGCTCATTAACTTAACTCAGACCCAGGATTACATCATTCACAATCACCTGGACTAGGCCAGAACACATTCCCCAAATGATGTCCTATATACAGTTAATGCATGACTCAGCATTTCCAATAGAAGCCCATTAGCAGTGCATGACTCAGCTATATTACATTACAATATATTGTAAAACCTGACACAAACAAAGTTTCTGGAGTAGAACAACTACTTTCAAAGTAAAGACCACCCAATAAAACAGGAAATAACACTTTCAAACCAGGAACAGATTTTCTTTATTATTAATAAATGTTTTTTATAAAAACTTTGAAAATTCACAAAAAGTCCATGGATAAGTCAAAGGTCATGAAATTTGGTGAGCTAACAGTGGTCCATGTGTTCTATCACTGTAGCAAGTTTCATTGGGATTGGTCTAAAAATGAGGGAGGGAGAATCCACTGAAGTTTCCCCCAGGCCAGTGCTGTTTTTTTTTCCTACTGCGCATGCACGTCTGCCATTAACAAATCGATTCGGAAATTTCGGGAAGTTTTGATTTTTTTTTAAATCAGAAGTGACTTTAGAATCAAACCACCAGCGCCCCCTACATTCAAAATGAGTTTTGAACCATTTGTTTTGGCTCAACCAAGCCTGATAAGTCGTAAGGCCGAACAGGGCATAGGGTTACAGCCTGTGTTAGACGGCATTCCACTCCCCCTGAAGACACAGGTTTGCAGCTTGGGAGTGATCCTGGACTCATTGCTGAGCCTGGAACCCCAGGTCTCGGCGGTGGCTGGGAGAGCTTTTGCACAATTAAAACTTGTGCGCCAGCTGCGGCCATACCCTTGTGGTTTGATTCTACGGTGGTCCACGCTCTTGTTACATCCCGAATAGATTACTGCAACGCGCTTTACGTGGGGTTGCCTTTGAAGACTGTTCGGAAACTTCAATTAGTCCAATGGGCGGCGGCCAGATTACTCACCGGAGTGTCATACAGGGAGCATACCACCCCCCTGCTATGTCAGCTCCACTGGCTGTCGATCCAGTTCCGAGCACAATTCAACGTGCTGGTTTTGACCTACAAAACCCTATACGGTTCCGGCCCAGCGTACCTGTCCAAACATATCTCCTTCTACGTCCCACCTCGGAGTTTAAGATCTTCTGGGGAGGCCCTGCTCTCGGCCCCGCCTTTATCACAAGTGAGACTGGTGGGGACGAGGGACAGGGCCTTCTCGGTGGTGGCCCCTCGCCTGTGGAATTCACTCCCCGGGGAAATTAGGGCATCAACATCCCTCCTCTCCTTCAGGAGGAAGTTAAAAACCTGGATGTGGGACCAGGCCTTTGGGTAAGCTGGCAGATGGATAAAAGGCAATGACGACCAGAGTAGGAAAGGACAATGACAATGCTGGATAGATTATGGATTTATGAATTGGCGAACGTTGACCACAAGATTATTTTATTGCTGCTATTGTATTAATTTGACTGTTTTAACTAGTTATAACTGTTGTCGTTATATTGTATTTTGTATATTGTATTAAGTGAACTGTTGGGCATCGAATTGTGCCTTTTGTAAGCCTCCCTGAGTCCCCCCTAGGGGGTTGAGAAGGGCGGGGTAGAAGCACCCCAAATAAATAAATAAATAAATAAACAAAAGCTTTTCCTCCCACTTTTTCTTTTGTGTTACTCTCAGGGCGCCGACTGGCAGCTGAAGAAGCATGAACATCAAGTATGTGCTTCTGGGGATGCTGTACTTTGTCCAGGGGATCCCCTATGGCCTCCAGTCGGGGCTGCTGCCCATCTACTTCCGCTCGGTGGGCCTCTCCTTCACCCGGATCAGCCTGGCCAAGGTGCTCTATGCCCCTTGGATCCTCAAGGTGTTGTGGGCCCCGCTGGTGGACCACTACATGGCCAAGAAGACCTGGCTGCTGCTCACCATGTGCGGCCTGGTCCTGTCCTGCCTGGCCTGCTCCCTCCTGGAGCCCGACACCAACTTCCTCCCCGTGGCCTTGGCCTTCCTCTTCATGAACTTCTGCGCCTCCATCCAGGACATCGCGGTGGACGGGGTGGCCATCCGGTTCCTGGGCTACGAGGAGATCGGCTACGGCAACACCGTCCAGGTGGTGGCCTACAAGCTGGGCTCCGTGATGGCCGGTGGCGGCCTGGTGGCCTTCCTCTACCATTTAGGCTGGGCCGCCATCTTCCTCTACCTGGCGGCCATCTACACCTTGGCCATCCTGCTCACCTGGGTTTCCGACCTGCGGACGAGGAGGGCGCGCCCCTCGCAAGACAGCCGCATCCTGGTTGGCAGCATGAACCACTGGAGCATCCTCAAAGAGGTCTTCCATGTGCCCGACACACGCTGGACCGCAGGGTTCGTCTTCATCTACAAGCTGGGTGAGTTTATCCCAGGTGTGGGCCAACTTTGGCCTCCCTCCAGGTGTTTTGGACTTCAACTCCCACCATTCCTAACAGCCGGTAGGCTGTTAGGAATGGTGGGAGTTGAAGTCCAAAACACCTGGAGGGTTGAAGTTTGTTATCCCATTAAAAGGTATCATTTTGCAAGCTCTGTCAAGACCTTTGGAAGCTGTAGTCCAAATAGGAGTTTTTCTGAACCTTACAGAAATGTTTAACAACAACAACAACACATTTATTACCTGCCTCTCCTTGCAACCTGAGGCAGGGTACAATATCGATAAAACACAATTAAAATACAAGATACACATAGTTAAAATATAGGTTAAAATCCACTGATCTATGTAAATAAAATTAACAAGCTAAAATTGACTGGGAAAACAGGAAATAGAGGTACAGTGAGTCCTTGGTATCCAGTGGGATTTGGTTCCAAATTCTTGATCCTATTCTTGATCCGCATGTTCTTCCACACTGTGGACATTGGTTTCCAGACAGACAGAAGGCGGTCCTGGTTGGGGTTGGCTTGACACGCCTTCCCCTTGGCACGTTTCTTCCTTTCACCCTCCATTTGTGCCTCTTCAAATTCTACAGCACTGCTGGTCACAGCTGACCTCTAGCTGGAGCGCTCAAGAGCCAGGGCTTCCCAGTTCTCAGTGTCTATGCCAGAGTTTTTGAGGTTGGCTTTGAGCCCATCTTTCAATCTCTTTTCCTGTCCACCAACATTCCGTTTTCCGTTCTTGAGTTCGGAGTAGAGCAACTGCTTTGGAAGACAACAATCGGGCATCTGGACAATGTGGCCGGTCCAGCGGGGTTGATGGCGGAGGACCATCGCTTCAATGCTGGTGGTCTTTGCTTCTTCCAGCATGCTGACATTTGTCCACTTGTCTTCCCAAGAGATTTGCAGGATTTTTCGGAGGCATCACTGATGGAATCATTCCAGGAGTTGCATGTGATGTCTGTAGATAGTCCACGTTTCGCAGGCATATAGCAGGGTTGGGAGGACAATAGCTCTATAAACAAGCACCTTGGTATCCCTGCGTATGTCCCGGTTCTCAAACACTCTCTGCTTCATTCGGAAAAATGCTGCACTCGCAGAGCTCAGGTGGTGTTGTATTTCAGTGTCAATGTTGACTTTGGTGGAGAGGTGGCTGCTGAGGGAGTGGAAATGGTCAACGTTTTCTAAAGTTACACCATTAAGCTGTATTTCTGGCATTGGAGAGGGGTTGGCAGGTGCCTTTTGCTGGAAGAGCACTTTGGTTTTCTTGATGTTCAATGAGAGGCAACACAACTTGTACACAACTACAAGAGCGTGTCAGTAGGTGGCACTGTCTGCTGCATCATTTCCCACAGCAGCTCTGGTCCCTGGAAAGTAAAGGCATCCTGTATTTGAGGAGCCTTGAAAGCCATTTTCCTTATGAGGCTGCCAAAGACATCCCAAGTCCCATAGTACTTAAATTGAGACCGGGTTCCAAATGTGACTTTGGAAGCTAAGCCACTCCAGACTTGAATATCAAGGCAGATAATCCACGATATCTGCTTTGAACTGGATTATCTGAGTCCACACTGCCATGTAATCCAGTTCAATGTGGATTTGTAATCCATGTAATGCCATGTAATCCAGTTCAATGTGCAGGGTTCCGTCCTGGGCCCGGTCCTGTTCAACATCTTTATTAATGACTTAGATGAAGGATTAGAAGGCAGGATCATCAAGTTTGCAGACGACACCAAATTGGGAGGGATAGCCAATACTCCAGAGGACAGGAGCAGGATTCAAAACGATCTTGACAGATTAGAGAGATGGGCCAAAACTAACAAAATGAAGTTCAACATTGACAAATGCAAGATACTCCACTTTGGCAGAAAAAATGAAATGCAAAGATACAGAATGGGGCCTGGCTCGAGAGCAGTACGTGTGAAAAAGATCTTGGAGTCCTCGTGGACAACAAGTTAAACATGAGCCAGGAATGTGATGTGGCGGCAAAAAAAGCCAATGGGATTTTGACCTGCATCAAGAGGAGCCTAGTGTCTAGATCTAGGGAAGTCATGCTCCCCATGCTCTATTCTGCTCTGGTTAGACCGCTTTACCTGGAATATTGTGTCCAATTCTGTGCACCACAATTCAAGAGAGATATTGACAAGCTGGAATGTGTCCAGAGGAGAGCGACTAAAATGATCAAGGGTCTGGAGAACAAGCCCTATGAGGAGCGGCTTAAGGAGCTGGGCATGTTTAGCCTGAAGAAGAGAAGGCTGAGAGGAGATATGATAGCCATGTATAAATATGTGAGAGGAAGCCACAGGGAGGAGGGAGCAAGCTTGTTTTCTGCTTCCCTGGAGACTAGGACGCAGGAACAATGGCTTCAAACTACAAGAGAGGAGATTCCATCTGAACAAGAGGAAGAACTTCCTGACTGTGAGAGCCGTTCAGCAGTGGAACTCTCTGCCCCGGAGTGTGGTGGAGGCTCTTTCTTTGGAGGCTTTTAAGAGGCTGGATGGCCATCTGTCAGGGGTGATTTGAATGCAATATTCCTGCTTCTTGGCAGAAAGGGGTTGGACTGGATGGCCCATGAGGTCTCTTCCAACTCTTTGATTCTATGATTCTATGATTTTTATACAGCTGTGCATTCCTATGAGGAGCACCTTTGGAAGCTGAGGCTGTTCAGCTTGGAGAAGAGAGATTTGACATGAGAGCCATGTTTGAAATTTATTTATTTATTTGCGACATTTATATGCCGCCCTTCTCACCCCGAAGGGGACTCAGAGCGGCTTACAAGTAATGTGTAAACACAAGGACTTCACAATTCAAGAGGAAATAATATTTTCAAACCAGGGATGGAAAAGTTTTCAAATTTTGTTACCTAATGTTTTTCCAATTTCTCTATAAATGTCTCACTTTCCTCCTTTGTCTTAATTCAATTGCTGCAAATTGAGTACCAAATGCAAAAGTATTTTTCGCTCATGTAGTTCAGCACCATGGAGAGAAGAGGTACCCTTCCCAGTAGGTTCAGGCAACAGCATGCTGCTACAACCTCTCCTAGATTGTGTCTTACCTCAATAATTACGAGGGGTATTTTTTAAGTAAGGTCCGTTTTGTTGTGGACACTAGTAGTTTGTGCGCATACCACAATGAGTAGGTGCATTGTGTACCGGCATGCCTCGGGAACACCTGTGCTCAGTTTCCGCTCTGTAGCTCACCTGTACGGTTCTGTTCTGTGCTTTAAAAATGTTTAAGACTCTCAACTCACCCGCCGCATGTGAGGTTCGCTCAGTGATATGGGTTTTGTCAGCAAGGAGCCTGCCTGCTGTAGAAATTCATCGACAGATTTGTGATGTGTACGGTATTTATTTATCGTGTCATCAGCAACCATACCATTGTGTTACAATTCTAACAGAACAAAACAAACACACAGATTAAAAAGAAAAAGGAAAAAAAAACCAAAAAAACACAGATTTTGCAAACTTGGTAGTTGGTTAAATATCCTTTGACCAGTATCTGGCCACTTGGAGTGCCTCTGGTGTTGCCGCAAGAAGGTCCTCCATTGTGCATGTGGCAGGGCTCAGGGAGCATTGTAGCAGGTGGTCTGTGGTTTGTTCTTCTCCGCACTCGCATGTCAAGGATTCCACTTTGTGGGCCCATTTCTTAAGATTGGCTCTGCATCTCATGGTGCCAGAGCGCAGTCTGTTCAGCGCCTTCCAAGTCGCCCAGTCTTCTGTGTGCCCAGGAGGGAGTCTCTCATCTGGTATCACCCATGGATTGAGGTGCTGGGTTTGGGCCTGCCACTTTTGGACTCTTGCTTGCTGGGGTGTTCCAGCGAGTGTCTCTGTAGATCTAAGAAAATTTAAGTCGTTGACGTGTTGGCTGATACCCAAACAAAGGATGAGCTGGAGATGTCTCTGCCTTGGTCCTTTCACTATTGGCTGCTACTTCTCGGCAGATGTCAGGTGGTGCAATACCGGCTAGCAGTGTAATTTCTCCAGTGGTGTAGGGCGCAGACACCCCGTGATAATGCGGCATGTCTCATTAAGAGCCACATCCACTGTTTTAGTGGTGAGATGTGTTCCACACTGGGCATGCATACTCAGCAGCAGAGTAGCACAGCGCAAGGGCAGATGTCTTCACTGTGTCTGGTTGTGATCCCCAGGTTGTGCCAGTCAGCTTTCGTATGATATTGTTTCTAGCGCCCACTTTTTGCTTGATGTTCAGGCAGTGCTTCTTGTAGGTCAGAGCACGGTCCAGAGTGACTCCCAGGTATTTGGGTGTGCTGCAATGCTCCAGTGGGATTCCTTCCCAGGTAATCCTCAGAGCTTGGGATGCTTGTCTGTTCTTAAGGTGAAAGGCACATGTCTGTGTTTTAGATGGGTTAGGGATCAGTTGGTTTTCCCTGTAATAGGCAGTAAGAGCACCTAGAGCTTCGGAGAGCTTCTGTTCAACCATCTCAAAGCTCCCTGCTTGAGCAGTAATGGCACGATCATCAGCATAGATGAAGCTCTCTGTCCCTTCTGGCAGTGGCTGGTCATTTGTGTAGATTGAACATGGATGGAGCAAGCACGCTCCCCTGAGGCAGGCCGTTCTTCTGTTTCCGCCATCTGCTTCTCTGGCCCTGGAACTCAACAAAAAGCTCCTGTTTTGTAGCAGGTTTCCTATGAGGCGGGTGAGGTGGTCGTCCTTTGTGATATTATACATTTTTCTCAGGAGGAGGTGGTGGTTCGCAGTATCATAGGCTGCTGACAAGTCTATGAAGACAGCTCCTGTGATCTGCTGCCTTTCAAAGCCATCTTCTATGTGCTGAGTCAAGTGTACGGTGAGACTGTTATGAGTGAAAGCAAAGTGTGTAAGTGGGTACGACAATTCAAAGATGGCCGTGACAACGTCCATGATGAGGACCGCTCCGGTCGCCCTTCTTTGATTACAGTGAACTCTTGGTTATCGGAGCAGGCGGCAAGTTTTTATGAAGAGCGTATTTTAAAATTGGTTCAGAGGTATGATAAGTGTTTGAACAAACTTGGCAACTATGTCAAAAAATAGAGTGAAGTATGTACTTTCTGAAAATAAATTTACTTTTTGAAATAAACTTTCATTGTGTACTTATGTTCAAACGGACAAGGGGATGGTCATTCCCTTGTGTAAAGGACTTTCCTACGCTGCAAGAACTGTTTTGGAGTGCAAAACTGAGCTCACTCTTTGTTTCTCCTTGCAGGTGAGCAAGGCTCCATTTCCATGTTCCCGCTCTTCCTCCTGGACCGGGACTTTTCTCCGCAGAAGCTTGGCTTCTGGAACGGCATCGTGGCCATGATTTTCTCCATTGCGGGCTCCTACTTGGGTGGCCACTTGATCTCCAGGCGGAGGTAAGCAGCCCCTTAAAGTTCACCATGTCCACGACCACAGACCCCTGTCTCACCACCTCAGAAAGGGGTGGGCAACATGTAGCCAGAGCCACTAGACATGCTAAAATTTTCCCCATTTCTTGGCCTCTCTTGGTCCTAAAGTGGCCCAAAGGGGCTATTTCCACTCCATTTTTATTTTCCTGGGATGGAGGTTTAGCACAGCTGTTAAATCACCAGTAACAATAAGATCTGTCAATTGAAAGGTTGCAAGTTCGAACCTCCGGGTCGGCATGAGCTGCCGACTGTCAGCCCTGCTCACCGTTTACCTAAACAGTTCGAAAACAGCTTTAGCTGTAATTCAAGAAATTAGGTACTGCTAAAAGGGGGGAGGTGTTTTACTATGCCATAAAGAAAGAAGATCAGAAAATGCTGGGCAACCAAAAGATAGGAGGAAGTCCTGACAGCTCTTCGTCACAGAGGATGAAGCAACAGCACCCCCTGTGACTGGACTCATCTTCCATTCCACCAAAAACAGGCGTTATGTTTTGTTTTGTTGACTTGTCTTGTTTTGATTTGTTAATTGTTGTGGATTGATGTTGTTGATCCTGTTGTTGCAATTGTTGCGTTTTTAATTGCACTGACATTGTTGATAATTTGTACCATGTAAACCGCATTGAGTCGCCTGTTTGGGCTGAAAAATGCGGTAGAGAAATAAAGCAAATAAATAAAAAATAAATAAATAACACACCTCCTTTCTGTTCTGTCTGGCTGTGTATTGTCTATACAAAGTGGCATTGAATGTTTGCCTTGTATATGTACTGTGATCCGCCCTGAGTCCCCTTCAGGGTGAGAAGGGCAGAATATAAATAAAGTATTATTATTATTATTATTATTATTATTATTATTATTATTACTATTATTATTATTAGCTGTCCCCTGCCATGTGTTGCTGTGGCCCAGTCTGTGTATATGTGTTTTGTGTGTATATATATTTGTGTATGTGTGCGTTTACGTATATATATGTAGTTTTGCGCATGCGTTATAATGTATATTTTGTTTTTTGGCTTTTAAGTCTCTTCTGCTGTGTTTTTCAATGTTTTTATGAGTGAAAATCACTTGTTGGCCTGAAATGTGTATTGTGTGCAAATTTCGTTTCAATTCGTCCAGTGTTTTTTGAGTTGTATTAATCCCACAAACAAGCATTACATTTTATTTATATATATTACTAGCTGTACCCACCACGTGTTGCTGTGGCCAACCTTCCCTCCCTCTTTCTCCCCTTCCTTCCTTCCCTCCCTCTTTTCTTCCTTCCCTTTTCTTCTTTCCTTCTCTCCTTCCTTCCTTCTCTTCCTCTTCCCTTCTCCCTCTTTGCTTTCCTCTTTCTCCTCTTTCTTCCTTCTCTACCTATTCTTGGGCTGCAACTCCCAGCAGTCCTCCTGATCAATCTACCTACCTACCTGTCTATCTCTATTTAATCTATCTATCTTATCTATCTGAAGGATTTCTGGGAGTTGCAGTCCAGAAATAGGAAATGGGAAATATGTAGGGATTGGGATGCTCTCAAAGAAATCCAAGGTTGGAAGCAGTGCATTTGGAGCATCCTCCTCTCCTAAAGGGCCTGGTCTAGGGGATGCTGGGAGCTGTTGTCCAGAAGAGCGTGGGGATATGCTATTGTACGTGTTATTTGCTGGGGGAATAGTTTTTGTACTTGCGCTGTAACATCTTTTTGCCAATTCATCCAGTGGTTTTTGAGTTATGTTAATCCCACAAACGAACATTACATTTTTATTTATATGGATTATTATTATTATTATTATTATTATTATTATTATTATTATTTTACTGTCACAAAAGCACAGTAAGTCACAGCAAATGTGATCTCTGTGCTGGATTTCATATCACAAAATCACAAGTCGAACACTTCCCAAGTGTCTAGGACTGTGTGATGTATTTTCCTGAAAGTCTTACTTCAGTTGGGGAGGCCCTGCTCTCGACCCCACCTCTATCACAAGTGAGATTGGTGGCAACGAGAAGCAGGGCCTTCTCGGCAGTGGCCCCTCACCTGTGGAATTCGCTCCCCGGGGAAATTAGGCCATCGACATCCCTCCTCTCCTTCAGAAGGAAATTAAAAACATGGTTGTGGGACCAGGCTTTCGGGCAATCTGGCAGTTCGACAAGGACAATGATGACTAGACAATATGGAATGAATTTATGGACTCTGAGATGGTGAACGCTGAGTACTGACTGGTTTTATTGATTTTTATTGATTTTGTTGTATAAAGTGTCTGTTTAATTGTTATAATTGCTGTATACATGTTTTATCCATTGTTTATGTTTATGTTGCCATCGAATTGTGCATTTTGTAAGCCGCCCTGAGTCCCCCCTTGGGGGTTGAGAAGGGCGGGGTAGAAATGCACGAAATAATAATAAATATTTTTGAATGATGCGCGCAGATGCAAGTCAGGTGGCCTTTTGCAGTTGACAGAATAATAATAATAATAATAATAATAATAATAATAATAATAATCTTTATTTCTACCCCGCCACCATCTCCCTGATGGGGACTCAGAGCAGCTTGTTGTTGTTCATTCGTTCAGTCGTCTCCGACTCTTCGTGACCTCATGGACCAGCCCACGCCAGAGCTCCTTGTCAGCCGTCACCACCCCCAGCTCCTTCAAGGTCAGTCCAGTCACTTCAAGGATGCCATCCATCCATCTTGCCCTTGGTCGGCCCCTCTTCCTTTTACCTTCCACTTTCCCCAGCATAATGGTCTTCTCTAGGCTTTGCTGTCTCCTCATGATGTGGCCAAAGTACTTCAACTTTGTCTCTAGTATCCTTCCCTCCAATGAGCAGTCAGGCTTTATTTCCTGGAGGATGGACTGGTTGGATCTTCTCGAAGTCCAAGGCACTCTCAGAACTTTCCTCCAACACCACAGCTCAAAAGCATCGATCTTCCTTCGCTCAGCCTTCCCTAAGGTCCAGCTCTCACATCCGTAGGTGACTACAGGGAAGACCATGGCTTTGACTAGGCAATGGATCTTTGTTGCCAGTCTGATGTCTCTACTCTTTACTATTTTATCGAGATTGGACATTGCTCTCCTCCCAAGAAGGAAGCGTCTTCTGATTTCCTGGCCACAGTCTGCATCTGCAGTAATCTTTGCACCTAGAAATACAAAGTCTGTCACGGCCTCCACGTTTTCTCCCTCTATTTCCAGTTGTCAATCATTCTTGTTGCCATAATCTTGGTTTTTTGACGTTTAGCTGCAACGCTTTTGCGCTTTCTTCTTTCACCTTGATTAGAAGGCTCCTCAGCTCCTCCTCGCTTTCGGCCATCAGAGTGGTGTCATCTGCATATCTGAGGTTGTTCATGTTTCTTCCAGCAATTTTCACCCCAGCTTTGCATTCATCCAGCCCCGCACATCGCAGAGCAGCTTACATAGGGCCAAGCCCGGACAACATGATACAGAAACATATACAACAAACAACAACAACATTATCAAAATGACATTAAAAGAGAAAAGAAATCATAAAATAAACATTCCAATAAGCACAATCTCGGTAGGGATGACAATGGGCGGGCCACATATTCAGGATAAATTGTTGTTGTTATTGTTGTTGTTGTTGTTGTTGTTGTTGTTGTTGTTGTTATAGGGCCAGGAGAAGCCCAAGAAGATAGTTTTTATTCCTCTTCTACAAGAGAGCTTTCCTGAAACATGTCAAGTTTTCATGTGCACCAAATCCTATGTACAATGCTCTTTTTAACATACGGACTCACAGCTTCTTATCCTCCGACTTCGCTTGCCTCAGTCAGCTTTCAGTTTCAGCGCTTTCTTTATCCTTCCCTCCCTTTCCCTCTTTCTTTTTGCTTCATATCTGTTATGACTGCGTTCCTGTCTTTATCTTCTGTTTTCGTACAGAACTTAGAACATATTAGGAGTTTTATCAGCACGTTATCGTAATCATCATGGCCTTAGTTCTATTTGTAGCCCTTTTCTACTACACTCTAATCTGTTTTGAAACTATTTTTAGTGTCTTACGCACAAATTTTAATGTTTTAACACAAATTTCAAAACTGCATCATCATATAGTATAATATTAATAATAATAATATGATATTATAATTATATATTTTATATTACATGTAATATTACTAATAATATTACAGTATAATTGTATAGTACAATATAATGATTTATAGCGCTGATATTGTACTGTACTCATGATGTAATGTATTGTATGTGTATTATAAATCCCATCGATATAGTTAATTTATTCTAGACTAGATTATTACTTAAGAGTTTATAGCAGTGCTTCTCTACCTTCCTAATGTAGTTTCTCATGTTGTGGTGACCCCCAACCATAACATTATTTTCCTTGCTACTCCATAACTGTAATTTTGCTCCTGTTATGAATCGTAATGTAAATATCTGATATGCAGGATGTATTTACATTCACTGGACCAAATTTGGCACAAATACCCAATACGTCCAAATTTGAATACTAATAGGGTTGGGAAGGGATTGATTTTGTCATTTGGAAGTTGTAGTTGCTGGGATTTATAGTTCACCTACAATCAAAGAGCATTCTGAACGCCACCAATGATAGAATTGGGCCAAGCTTCCCACAGAGAACCAACAGAAAATACTGTGTTTTTTCGATGGTCTTTGGTGACCCTTCTGACACCTCCCTTACGACCCCCGCAGGAGTCCCAACCCCCAGGTTTATTGATTTGTAGCTACTGTATGAGGGCATTGCTCTTCCAATAATAATTTTCCTCCTGCTTCTTGAAATTGTTTTCCAGTCCCCAAATCTCAAGCATTGCTGGAACCTCAAAGATCAATTGAGAATTTATTAATATAGCTAACCCTACACTAACTCGGTGGCACAGTGGGTTAAACCGCTGAGCTCCTGAGCTTGTTGACCAAAAGGTCGCAGGTTCAAATAAAGGGAATGGCATGTGCTTCCGCTGTCAGCCCCAGCTTCTGCCAACCTAGCAGTTTGAAAGCATGCAAATGTGAGTAGATCAATAGGTACCGCTTTGGTGGGAAGGTAATGACACTCCTTGCAGTAGACATGACCTCGGAGACGTCTACGGACTGTGAGAGCTGTTCAGCAGTGGAACTCTGCCCCGGAGTGTGGAGAAGGCTCCTTCTTTGGAAGCTTTTAAGCAGAGGCTGGATGGCCATCTGTCAGGGGTGCTTTGAATGCAATATTCCTGCTTCTTGGCAGAATGGGGTTGGACTGGATGGCCCATGAGGTCTCTTCCCACTTTAGGATTCTATGATTCTATGATTCTTTGGCTTAGAAATGAAGATGAGCACCAACCCTCAGAGTCGGACAAAACATTTGGGAAGTCTCACTTGGCCACGGTGGTCCATGCTCTGGTTACATCCTGTTTAGACTACTGCAACGCTCTCTACGTGGGGTTGCCTCTGAAGACTGCCTGAAAGCTTCAATCAGTCCAACGAGCAGCAACCAGACTGCTAACGGGAGCGGGGTACAGGGAACATACGATTCCTCTGTTACGCCAGCTTCACTGGCTGCCAATCAGCTTCCGAGCACAATTCAAAGTGCTGGTTTTGACCTATAAAGCCCTAAATGACTCCGGCCCAATTTACCTGTCCGAACGGATTCTCCCCTATGAACTATCAAAATTGTTAAGATCTTCTGGAGGGGCCCTGCTCTCGATCCCACCACCCTCTCAATCGCATCTGGTGGGGATGAGGGACAGGGCCTTCTCGGTGGTGGCTCCTCGGCTCTGGAACTCCCTTCCACTAGAGATTAGATCTGCCCCTTCCCTCCTGTCGTTTAGAAAGCTACTAAAAACCTGGCTTTGGAATAAGGCATTTGATGATTGAGTCAATAGCCTTTGTGCACACGGAAGGATGGTGATGAATTGTAACTGTATTTGACGACTTGGCTTATGTAAGGTGATGATTTTTTTTCGGTTTTTAATGTTTAATGATGATGTATTGTACTGTCTGTATTACTGTATTTGAGTACATGCTGTAAACCAGCCTCTCCGGAGGTCGAAAAGACCGGTATATAAAACTTCTAAATTAATAAATAAATACATTTACGTTTACCTTTACTCTACACATTGGTGGGTTTAGTGCTTGCAAATGGAATACTTTGATTAATAGAGGCACACTGGGGGATTTAGAGAAGAAAAATTGTGGGAGTTGAAGTCCAGAACACCCGAACGAGGGCCGAGGTTGGCCCGTGCCTGCTTTAGATGATTTCCCCAGCTTTGTGGCTGTTCCCATGGTCCTGCTTCTGGCTGACCCCTCTTTGTGTCTCTTATCCACAGGCGCCTCTTGCCCGTCCTGGAGTCCCTCCTGATCATCCGCTTCTGCAGCCTGACCCTCCAGATCCTCCTGATGGCCCTCTATCGAGACAAGGAGCCTTTCTTTGAAGGTGAGGACCCGAGTCCAGTTCTGGCCATCCCTCCCACACCGGTTGGGGAGGTTGCTGCATATTTCGCCTTGTTGCAGAGCAAGACACCTATCAGGTCAATGAGTGACCATCACTCATAAAAATACAGAAAAGCACAGCAGAAGGCACTTTAAAAGCCAAAAAACAAAAATTACATTACAACACATGTTGAAAACCACATTTATACACATACATACACACACAAAACACATATTTTATTTATTTATTTATTTATTTATTATTCAAACTTATATACCGCCACTCCCCTGGGGCTCGGAGCGGCTTACAAGAACAGGCTAATATCTAACACAATTTAAAAACAATTTAAAACAACAATGTCAGAGATCAAAGGCCTGTTGAAACAGGTATGTCTTACATGCCCTGCGGAAAGCTGATAAGTCCCACAAGGCACGGACTTCAGGTGGCAGAGTATTCCAGAGTGATGGTGCCACTGCTGTAAAGGCTCTGCGCCTGGTTGCTGTTAGACGCAAGGTCTTGACACTGGGAATTTCCAATAGATCTTGGTCCTCAGAACGGAGGGATCTCTGGGGTTGGTAGGGGGTGAGGCGGTCCCTCAGGTACATCGGCCCCAGACCATGCAAGGCCTTCAAGGTGAGTACCATCACTTTGAAAGTGATCCGGTGCTCAATTGGTAACCAATGCAGCTGTAGTAAGATTGGTGTTATGTGGCATCTCATCGGAATTCCCGCAAGAAGCCGAGCAGCTGCATTTTGTACCAACTTGAGCTTCCGGATCACCGACAGAGGAAGGCCAATGTAGAGGGCGTTACAGTAGTCCAGTCTTGAGATGACCGTGGCCTGGATCACTGTAGCTAGGTCGTCCCTGGACAGGGAGGGGGCCAGCTGTCTAGCCTGCCGCAGGTGAAAGAAGGCGGTTCTGCTAGCCGCGGAGACCAAAAGGACTCCCAGGCTCTTGACCAACGATGATGGGCATAGCGCCTCGCCATCCAGGGTAGGCAGCTGGATATCCCCACTGCCCGGTCGACCCAGCCATAGGATCTCCATCTTTGCCGGATTCACCCTCAACCTGCTGGCACACAGCCACCGAATGGGCCACAACAACGTGTGGCAGCTCCACTGGCTGCCGATCTGCTACCGGGCTCAATTCAAGGTGCTGGCATTGGCCTATAAAGCCCTAAACGGTTCTGGCCCAAGATACCTAACTGACCGCCTCTCGGCCTATGAGCCCACGAGGACTTTGAGATCTTCCGGGGAGGCCCTGCTCTCGATCCCACCTGCGTCACAGGCACGGCTGGCGGGGACGAGAGATAGGGCCTTCTCGGTGGTGGCTCCTCGGCTGTGGAACACCCTTCCTGTAGACATCAGGCTAGCCCCCTCCCTGTTAATATTCCGCAGGAAGTTAAAGACCTGGTTGTTTGAGAAGGCATTTGAATAGTAGTGCAATGATGGGTAACTCGACCATAGGAATGGAACAACGGAAATGGTATTGGACTGTGAACTTGACGATGAGACGACTCGGAATGGCTTGTAGTTATATTGATGTTTTTGATGAGATGTTTTGATAATGATGTACTGTGGATTATTTTTTGTATGTTGTATTTTGCACCTGTTTTTCTATGTTGTACACCGCAATGAGTCGCCATTAGGCTGAGAATTGCGGTATATAAGCGAAGTAACAAATAAATAAATAAATAATAGTAATATATATATATATATATATATATATATATATATATATATATATAGATATATATATATAGATATTGATATTGATATTGATATTGATATTGATATTGATATTGATATTATCAGCAAAACTAGACCTTAAGGAAGCTTTTAACGGTTACAGTCTCTCAAGGAAAAAGAACAACTGTGACACCATACTACCTCCTTGATATACAGTGCAATAGTCTTCCTCAATATTTCCACTGGAATAGGGAAATCAACCTTTCCATAGTAAACAAAGCCCAGAGGATTGCCTTTTACTAGGCAGTGAAAGTCAGGGTCCCCAGAAGATTGTGACCTTGCCCATGTGTGGGCCCCCTCTTTCCAAACCCTGACATTACAGCTCTGTCCAGCTGCTTGATCCTGGCCTTTCTCTGGCTCTGGGTCAAGCTCTCCTCATTCTTCCTTCCTCTTTCCTTCAGTGGCGGCTGTCATGAGCATCTGCATCCAGCACCTCATCGCCGGCCTGATCACCACTCTGACCTTCAGCCTGATGATGCACTGCTCACAAAAGGCCAAGGAAAGCATCCAGGTACAACTCAGGCCTTTTGATTTCTCTCGCATGCCAAATAAATACATCTTACTTTGTTCTGAGCTTTGCTTTTAAGGGGCCTGCCTCTTGGGGCAGTGGGTGAAGTCACTGCCAAGGCTTCGGGCAGATGTGTTTGGCTCTTTCCACTTCACTTACCCTGCAGAAGAGAAGGCTGAAAGGAGACATGATAGCCATGTATTAGTATGTGAGAGGAAGTCATAGGGAGGAGGGAGCAAGCTTGTTTTCTGCTGCCCTGGAGACTAGGACACATTTGAGGAATGTCTTCAAACTACAAGAAAGGAGATTCCATCTCAACATTAGGAAGAACTTCCTGACTGTGAGAGCTGTTCAGCAGTGGAACTCTCTGCCCCAGAATGTGGTGGAGGCTCCTTCTTTGGAAGCTTTTAAACAGAGGCTAGATGGCCATCTGCTGGGGGTGCTTTGGATGTAATTGTCCTGCTTCTTGGCAGAATGGGGTTGGACTGGATGGCCCAGGAGGTCTCTTCCAACTCTTTGATTCTATGAAAGTGTGATGGAGGCTCCTTCTGTGGAGGCTTTGGAACAGAGGCTGGATGGCCATCTGTTGGGGGTGCTTTGGATGTAATTGTCCTGCTTCTTGGCAGAATGGGGTTGGACTGGATGGCCTACGAGGTCTCTTCCATTATCATTCTATGAGTCTATGAAAACACCTGGGGACCCACAGGTTGAGAACCACTGGTGTTGGGTCTATCTAGGGCAGTGGTTCTGAACCTGTGGGTCCCCAGGTGTTTTAGCCTATAACTCCCAGAAATCCCAGCCAGTTTACCCAGCTGTTAGGATTTCCGGGAGTTGAAGGGCAAAACATCTGGGGACCCACAGGTTCAGAACCACTGATCTAGGGACTGTCTTCCTCGTGATGCAGCCTATGATTGAGGGATGCATCCGCAGCTGTCCTCCCTGGCTCCAGCCATGGCCAGTCCTCCCTCCGCTCACGCTGGCCCTTCTCCTCCTCCTTCTCGCAGGCCACTCACTACAGCTTCCTGGCCACCTTGGAAGTCCTGGGCAAGCTGGTCTTTGGCGCTGTGACGGGGACCCTGGTCGACCGGCTGGGCTTCTTGCAGGCATTTAGCGTCTTCTTGGTCCTCTCCTTCACCTCCATCCTGTACACGCTGCCCTTCTGAAGATGACCGCCGGCCACCAGAGAATGGCCATCTTGGAGGGGTAAAGGATGGGGTGGGGCAATCTTCTTGGGGCCTGGAGGAGAGGTAAGGGGTGATCCGACAGCGCTTTCGGATGTTGCTTCCCTGCATTGAATTCACTCCATCACAAACCTTCCCCTGCAAGAATAGAGAATACTGAGGGGGTGAGAAATCTATCTATTTCTTAGAGAAGGAAGGAAGGACCCTTGGGGTGCTTGTTATACTTCTCCCCCAGCCCCAGAGTTGACAGATAAAAGAGGTCCTTTGTGAGCTGCCCCTGGGACCTACCAAGGTGTCAATGCAATAAACAATATTTTAAATGAACAAGCATCCTGGGGCTTCATTCTGTCGAGAGATGGATTGTATATTTTTACCTGTTTATAAAGTGACTAGCTGTGCCCTGCCACGCGTTGCTGTGGCCTATAGTAAAACTTATCAAAGTTGAGGTAGATATCTGGGCTATTATGAAAGAGAGGTCCCTACCTATTCCTTCCCCCTTTTCCTCCCCCTTTCTCTCCTTTCTTTCTTCTCTACCTCTTTCTTTCTTTCACTACTTGGTTTCATCCTTCTCTCTTTCCTTCATTCCCTCCCCCTTTCTTCCTTGGCCTTTCTTCCCTCCCTGTTTGCTTCCTTCTTTCACTTTTTATTTCCTTTTATTTTGCCACCATCATAACAATAACAATAATGCAATGCATTGCCTCTGGGACCTGACACCTCTCCCATTCCCCAGGGTCTCATAGGAACAATAGCATAATAATAATAATAATAGAAATAACAACCTTTACCCGCCACGTGTTGCTGTGGCCAATCTTCCCTCTTTCTCTCCTTCTTTCCCTCCTTCCTTCCTTCCTTCCCTCCCATCTTTCCTTCTCCTCTTCTTTCTCTATCTCTTTCCTTCCTTCCCCCTTTTTCTTTCTTTTCTGCTGTCTCTCTTTTCTTTCCTTCCATCTTTCCTTTTCTTTCCTTTTTCTTCTTCCTTCTTTCTCTAACTTTCCTTCCTTCCCCCTTTTTCTTTACCTCCCTTTCTCTTTCTTCCTTCTTTCCTTCCTTCCTGTCTTTCCTCGATTTTGACAGGGCGGGAAGGGGCGGGGTGGGGTTTGGAGGGGGCGTGAAGTAAAAGGAGGTAAGATTGGGGTGGGGGGAGTGATGGAGCGTGGGGTTGCGTGTGTGTGTGCAGCGGCGGGGGGAGTGATGGAGCGTGGGGTTGCGTGTGTGTGTGCGGCGGCGGGGAGGGAGTGGGGTTGCGTGTGTGTGTGCGGCGGCGGGGGGAGTGGGGTTGCGTGTGTGTGTGCGGCGGCGGGGGGAGTGATGGAGCGTGGGGGTGCGTGTGTGTGTGCGGCGGCGGGGGGAGGGGGTTGCGTGTGTGTGTGCGGCGGGGGGAGTGATGGAGTGTGGGGTTGCGTGTGTGTGTGCGGCGGCGGGGGGAGTGGGGTTGCGTGTGTGTGTGCGGCGGCGGGGGGAGTGATGGAGTGTGGGGTTGTGTGTGTGTGCGGCAGGGGTGTGTGTGTGTGCGGGAAGCGGCGCGGCGGGGCTTGGAGTGGGCATGGTTTCCGCAGAGGAAACGTTGGCCGGAAGGGCATGTGCGCGCGCCAGGGAACTTGCGGCTGGGCGCCAATGCGCATGCTCAGTTGTTTTGCCGTTTTGTGAGTGTGTTGTTGTGTTGTTTTTCATTTTGAGTAGATACGTTTGTACCTTGTGGGTTGTGTTATGGGCATGGGAATTTTGGTTAAGTTTCGTTGGGGGTTTTTTGAGTTTTGTTTTTTTGCCGTTTTGAGTGTGTTGTTGTGTTGTTTTTCATTTTGAGTAATATGTTTGTACCTTGTGGGTTGTGTTATGAGCATGGGAATTTTGGTTAAGTTTCGTTGGTTTTTTTTTGAGTTTTATCCTTTTGCCGTTTTGTGAGTGTGTTGTTGTGTTGTTTTTCATTTTGAGTAGATATGTTTGTACCTTGTGGGTTGTGTTATGGGCATGGGAATTTTGGTTAAGTTTCGTTGGGGGATTTTTGAGTTTTATTGTTTTGCCGTTTTGTGAGTGTGTTGTTGTGTTGTTTTTCATTTTGAGTAGATATGTTTGTACCTTGTGGGTTGTGTTATGGGCATGGGAATTTTGGTTAAGTTTCGTTGGGGTTTTGAGTTCAGTTGTTTTGCCGTTTTTGTGAGTGTGTTGTTGTGTTGTTTTTCATTTTGAGTAGATATGTTTGTACCTTGTGGGTTGTGTTATGGGCATGGGAATTTTGGTTAAGTTTCGTTGGGGGATTTTTGAGTTTTGTTTTTTTCCCATTTTGAGTGTGTTGTTGTGTTGTTTTTCATTTTGAGTAGATATGTTTGTACCTTGTGGGTTGTGTTATGGGCATGGGAATTTTGGTTAAGTTTCGTTGGGGGATTTTTGAGTTTTGTTGTTTTGTCGTTTTGTGAGTGTGTTGTTGTGTTGTTTTTCATTTTGAGTAGATATGTTTGTACCTTGTGGGTTGTGTTATGGGCATGGGAATTTTGGTTAAGTTTCGTTGGGGGATTTTTGAGTTTTGTTTTTTTCCCATTTTGAGTGTGTTGTTGTGTTGTTTTTCATTTTGAGTAGATATGTTTGTACCTTGTGGGTTGTGTTATGGGCATGGGAATTCTGGTTAAGTTTCGTTGGGGGATTTTTGAGTTTTGTTGTTTTGCCGTTTTGTGAGTGTGTTGTTGTGTTGTTTTTCATTTTGAGTAGATATGTTTGTACCTTGTGGGTTGTGTTATGGGCATGGGAATTTTGGTTAAGTTTCGTTGGGGGGTTTTTGAGTTTTGTTTCCTCGTTGGATGCCCCTAACAAATTTATATATATAGATGTGGAATTTTTATCTATCTATCTATCTCTATCTATCTATCTGTCTATCTATCTAAGGAGCAGTGGCGCAGTGGATTAAAGCACTGAGGTGCTGAGCTTGTTGATCGAAAGGTTGCAGGTTCGATTCCGGGGAGCGGCGTGAGCTTCCGCTGTCAGCCCTAGCTTCTGCCAACCTAGCAGTTTGAAAACATGCAAATGTGAGTAGATCAATAGGTACCGCTCCGGCGGGAAGGTAACGGCGCTCCATGCAGTCATGTCGGCCACATGAACTTGGAGGTGTCTACGGACAACGCCGGCTCTTCGGCTTAGAAATGGAGATGAGCACCACACCCCAGAGTCAGACATGACTGGACTTAATGTCAGGGGACTACCTTTACAACCCTATCTATCTATCTGTCTGTCTGTCTATTTATTTACAGTATTTATATTCCACCCTTCTCACCCCGCAGGGGACTCAGGGCGGATTACAGTGTACACATATATGGCAAACATTCAATGCCAAAGACACACAACACATATAGACAAACAGTCAGAGGCTATTTAACTTTTCTGGCCACCAGGGGAGCTGTTGCTTTCATCGTCCATCTGCGACACTGATGAAGTACTTTCTGCATTCCCCGCATGCTTTGCTGGAGTCTTTTTTTATGGCCTTGTAAATTAGTTAAATTAGCCTCCCCACACATAGGTGGTACCCAATTTTCCTACTTGACGGATGCAACTGTCTTTCAGGTTGCAAAGGTCGACAACAAGCTACACAATTGGTTGGAAGCTCACTCAGACCTGGGCTGGCTTCGAACTCATGACCTTTTGGTCAGAAGTGATCTTAATGCAGCTGACACTCAGCCAGCTGTGCCATAATCCTGGTGCTATACAGGCAGTCCCCAAGTTACAATTTAGTATTTACAAGAACAAGGTCTCCTTGACACATAGTTCAACCTTCACTCTGGAGCTTCACACACAAGGCCTTCTCATACCGAGGCTTACCTCACACAGAGGCTTCTCTCACAGGCTAAGGCCTACCTCACACTGTGAGGCCTTCTCACGGACAGAGACCTTTCTCCAACTGAGGCAAACTAACACAGAGGGCTACTAATCTACAGGCACAGGTGCTTATATTGAACTGCAACTTTTGCTGAGTCATTGCATTCATTTGACCCTTTCAGTGCTTGACTCACATTTTTGTAATTAAAACTGCCTAGTTAATATTTAATATTTCTGACATTTTTATCTATACAGGCAGTCCTGAAGTTATGAATAAGATAGGTTCTATTGGTTCGTATTTAAGATGAATTTGGGTTGTTGCAGGTTTTTTCGGGCTATATGGCCATGGTCTAGAGGCATTCTTTCCTGACGTTTCACCTGCATCTATGGCAAGCATCCTCAGAGGTAGTGAGGTCTGTTGGAACTAGAAAAAAGGATTTATATATCTGTGGAATGACCAGGGTGGGACAAAGGACTCTTGTCTGCTGGAGCTAGGTGTGAATGTTTCAACTGACCACCTTGATTAGCATTTGATTGCTTGACAGTGCCTGGAGCAATCTTTTGTTGAGAGGTGATGAGATGTCCTTGTTTGTTTCCTCTCTGTTGTTGTGCTATTCAGGCCATTATATGCTAATCAAGGTGGTCAGTTGAAACATTCACACTCCAGCAGACAAGAGTTCTTTGTCCTACCCTGGTCATTCCACAGATATATAAACCCTTTTTCCTAGTTCCAACAGACCTCACTACCTATGAGGATGCTTGCCATAGATGCAGGCGAAATGTCAGGAAAGAATGCCTCTAGAACATGGCCATATAGCCCCAAAAAACCTACAACAACCCAGTGATTCCAGCCATGAAAGCCTTCGACGATAAGTTGAACTTGTTTGTAAGTTAGAACAGGTAAATTTTTCAAATGTAACCCCAGAGTTTAGCTTTGGATAGCATAGGGAAGGGTGAACACGCCTGTGATGTTTGCTTTGCTGGCTCTGAACCTGTTCAGAAGATTTCTTCTCACTTGGCTTGTTGTGGAAACAAGGATTGGAGATAAAACTTCAGAGACACCTTTTCCCTATTTATGTATTGTGTCATCAGCAACCAGACATTTGTATTACATTTTTAACAAAAATAAACAGACAAAACACAGAATTTGCAAGCTTGGTCGTTGGTTAAATGTCCTTTGACCAGTAGCTGGCCCCTTGGAGTGCTTCTGGTGTTACTCTAAGAAGGTCCTCCATTGTGCATGTGGCAGGGCTCAGAGTGCATTGCAGCAGGTGGTCTGTGGTTTGCTCTTCTCCACACTCGCATGTCGTGGATTCCACTTTGTGGCCCCATTTCTGAAGGTTGGCTCTGCATCTCGTGGTGCCAGAGCGCAGTCTGTTCAGCGCCTTCCAAGTCGCCCAGTTTTCTGTGTGCCCAGGGGGGAGTCTCTCATTTGGTATCAGCCATGGATTGAGGTTCTGGGTTTGAGCCTGCCA